CCAAAAACATGTGATCCCCTTTTGTGATTATCTGACAAGCAAAGTCAATGGAGAAGCCAGATTCACTTAATCCCTGAGTTATTACTAACTTAACTGCGGTGATTCACTTAACAACTGTGCCGAAAAGGGTTGTAAAATGTGGCAATAACATCAATTTTGGGCTCAACTGTGGTCATAAGTCAACCTGTAGCTTGGAGGCCCCTGTTGTAAAATAAGCATGTCAGCTACAACGGCGGGCAGAGAAGTGGGAACCAAGAGCCAAACAGGATTCCTGGCACATATATGGCCTCTACCAGGAATTCCCGAAGGAGTTGCTGGGCAGCTAACCCTAACCCTTGGGAATTGTGTCCAATTGAAACAGCACTGGGTTACCTGATTAACTGGTGAGGTTTCAGGCTACCATAGGTTTTACATCTCAGAGAACACTGAAAAAAATTTGTTGTGGGACAGCAATAAAACACACAATTTAAAATCCTTTTTAACATGCATGCGCGCACACACACATGCACACACAGTTCTCTCGCTCATTCTGCTCCAATTTGACCAGGCGTAGTAGGTTTGTTTGTTTATAAATTTATATAGCTGTGCATCTCACATGGCTTTCACTGTGACTTTGAGAGGTATACACTTAGTAATTAAGGAATTAGCTTGTTTCTTGTTAGCTATATTAAAATGTAAAGTTCAAATGAATTTTCAGTAGACAGACATGTCACGGTTTAGCAAGTAACCTTTTAATAATTTAGCATATCTTTTAATACAGGACTAGTAGAGTTTTCTGGACAATAATCCTGTCTTAACCAGAGGGGATTTAGAAATTATTTTCATTTCAGTATCTTTCTGCCATCTGCTGGCTACCTAATGCTAGTGACTTTGCTCACACTTTATTACAAATCTAGTTTTTGACATAAGAAGGTGTATATACAGGCTCATAAATCAGTACCGACTGAGGAATAAGAGAGAGTATTTGCTTTTTTATATCCCTTTCAAAGATGTGGATGAATTTATACTATACTTTCTGATTTCAAGAGCAATTGGAAAACCCTTACAGAAATTGGTTTTGTGCAAAAATTTAAATTGTCCTGGATGTGTATTATCCAAGAACTATTTTCACAACTTTGCTGTTTCAACATCATCTCCACTTTGTTGTCCAGTTCAGTTTTGTATATTTCATCTGATGATATTCATATATATTTAAAATAGTAAAGGGTGCCCTGTCCAGTCGTGTCTGACTCTAGAGGCCGGTGCTCACCTCTACTTGGCTGAGGGAACCAGCGTTGATCAAAGACATTTTCTGTGGTCATGTGGTCAGCATATGCCAAAGGCGCACGGAACACTGTTATCTTCCCACCGAAGTGGTATCTATTAATCTACTCGCAAATGTCTTCAGTCAAACTAATACAAACTAATAAAAGGAAAAAAAAATAGAAAAATGAAAAGATGAAAGTACCTAAAGAAAAAAAAGGAAGCTTCAGATTTCCTTTGCAGCAAATCCAAGTACAATTAAAAATTTATTGTTTATTATTATTAAAAATTCACCCTTTTTCCATTATTCAGATTTTTTTCTAATCATCGAAACCAAAAATCCTAAGTACATTTTCCTCGTTTTATGTAAACATTTATAAAGATTTTCCAGTCAACCAAAAATGTAGATATTGTTTTTTCTTTGTCTGTTCCTGACCTCTAATTGATATTAATTGGTCACCGATTGTGTTGTACTTAAGAATTGTCTTGCTGTATGCTGTATCCTTCCTGATAATAAAAATAATGCTATTCCTTATTTCTTGTGTCCTGAATAAGTACATAGTATGATCTGCTAACAATGGCCAATTCCAGTATCTTCCGATTCCCTGTTGCCGAAGTTGTCAAAAATGTAGGAGACTCATTTCATCTTTCATTGTGTTGCACTCTCCCATATTCTCATAGAAAGTGTACCTTTTTGGTTTTCAATTTTTTTTCTTGCATAGCAACATCAGTACTTCCAACTTTAGCCGATCATCAGCATTATATCATCCATCACTTTATAGGTAGTCCACGAGTTGTGACGGCAATTGAGACTGGAATTTCCATCACTAAGCAATGAGATCATAAAATGCAACCGCATCATTTAGCATTGGCAATCCCAACAACCATGGTTGTCAGCATTAACTGAATTTCACAGTGGTTAGGCAAGGCAACTTTCTGCCAGCATCCCACAACCAAGTACATCTCCACCCCAACGATGCCCTTGATGTGATGTCTCGCTGCCTGGAGGCTGTGCGGGTCTGGATGGGGAGAAATAGGCTCAGACTCAACCCTTCCAAGACCGAGTGGCTGTGGCTTCCGGCGTCCCGATATAGTCAGCTGCTGCCATTACTGACTATTGGGGGGTGAATCTCTGCCCCCCACAGAGAGGGCTCGCAATCTGGGTGTCCTCCTGGACACACGGCTGTCTTTAGAAGAGCATATGACGGTTGTGGCCAGGGGGGCTTTTTATCAGGTTCGCCTGATTCGCCAGTTGCAGCCCTTTCTGGATCGGGATGCCTTGCACACGGTCACTCACGCCCTTGTCACCTCCTGGCTGGACTATTGTAATGCTCTCTACATGGGGCTGCCCTTGAAGAGCACTCGGAGGCTCCAGCTGGTCCAGACCCCTCCTGCGTGAACTGCACTGGCTCCCAGTGGTCTTCCGGGTGCGATTCAAGGTGTTGGTTACCACCTTTAAAGCGCTCCATGGCATAGGACCCGGTACCTTCGAGACCGACTTCTGCCACCAATAGCCTCCCACTGGCCAGTTCGGTCCCACAGAGAGGGTCTCCTCAGAGTGCCATCAGCCAAGTTATGTCGGCTGGTGACACCCAGGGGAAGGGCCTTCTTTGTGGGAGCCCCTGCCCTGTGGAATGAACTGCCCCCGGAAATGCTAAGATCTCCAACCTCCGTGTATTTCGCTGTGCCCTCAAGACTCTCCTGTTCCGCCAGGCTGGGCTTTCAATGTAATGATTTTTAAACTGGGTGTTTTAAATTTTTGGGGTTTTAAATCTGAGCCGAAATGATTTAATAATTTTAATTATTTTTAACTGATGTCTGTCTTTGTGCTTTTAATAGGCTGTACACCGCCCTGAGTCCTTCGGGAGAAGGGCGGTATAGAAATAAAATTATTTATTTATTTATTTATTTATTTATTTATTTATTTATTTATTAATTATGTGGGGAAGCTGGCAATAAGTTGCAAGTACCCAGCCTGCAGGTAGGTAAGCGGCTGCTGCTGAGTGGAAGAGGGAGCGGGGTGGGTGGGTAAATGAGGGTGTTGCAGAAGTGCAGGTTGGGTTGGGAGCACAACAGACATAGGCAAGAAGGATCGACAATGGTGTGATGTGAGTCAAAGACATTCAATAATGGTAGTGTGGTGTGATCTGCACTGTAGATGTGCAGAGATGTGTATGTGATTGGCCAGCATGGTATGAGCACAGAGTGGCTGGGAAGGTGTGCATATGAGGGGGGAGAGACTTAGTCCAGCAATTTACAAGCTTCCTTTCCAACTGGAGAGGTTGCAAATGGTGATCACAGGACACTGCAACTGGTTATAAGTGCAAACTGGTTGCCAATTGTCCAGATTGTAATCACATGACTGAGAGGGTGCTGAGAGAGCCAAAACTCTGAAGACTGGTTGTGACCATTTATTCAGTGCTGTCATAACTTCAAATGGTTGCTGAACAAATGGTTGTAGGTTGAGAACTAGCTGTATATTATCTATTATGGTTTTCCTGGTAAAATACAGGAGTGATTTACTGTACTTTCTTTCATGAAGTAAGAAATGCTTTTGCCATTATCACTAAAGTCATCATCCACCTCTAGAATCTTCTTATATCACTGATGCCCAATACAGTATTTGCTTGCTTCAGCTGGGCAGCTGAAAGACCATGATGTAGCAGGACTAGAGAGGGAAGCTGAACATAGTGGACTAAAAAATCTTTAAAATGTTTTTAGAATAGCACATCAAACTATTTGCCACTTAAGATAGCTTTGTGTGGTGATGAGACAATAACTTGATCCTTAACACCAATAAGACCAAGGAGCTTATAGTGGACTACAGAAGAAATAGATCAGACATCCAGCCCTTGGTTATCAATGGAGACCAAGTGGAGCAAGTGGGTAGTTTTTTGGGTGTTATCATAAAAGGACCTGACCTGGGGCGCTCACATTGCACCACTGGTCGAAAGGGCCCAGCAGAGATTATACTACCCGAGACTTCTCAGGAAACAACAACTGAATGAAAAATTGCGACCTTCTACCACTGCACTATAGAGAGTATTTTAACTTACTGCACTTGTGTATGGTTTGCTAATTGCACAGTGGCAGATAGGACAGTGCTCCAGAGGGTTAACATCATTGCCCAAAGGATCATTGGTTGCCCTCTCTCCTTGAAAGAGCTTTATAGCTCCTTTTGCCTTAAGAAACTTCAAAACATTCTTAGAGATCCATCTCATCCTGGATACCCTTTTTTTGAACTATTACAATCTGGCAGACAGTACAGGACAATAAAAACACGGACAAATAGGCTGAAAAACAGCTTCTATCCCAGAGCAGTAAATATATTGAATTCTACTTAGAGCGCAATATTAATGTAGTATTGGGGGTTTTCAATTCAATTGTATAGAATGTGAAGGAGGTGTGTTTTTGTTTTATTTTTATAGTTATATACGATGAACACTGAAGATGGCATTTAATTTCGTTGTAAGAGTAAATGACAATAAAGTAAAATAAACTTTTCTATGATCCATATTGTTCAGTGCAGAATGATTTTTTTCACATTTTATTCTGATACCCATATTCTAGAAATATTTTTTACAAAACATGAAAGCATAACAGAACTAAACATGGAGGGAAAATTAAATGTGTACATTCCTGCTTGAGTGCTGTATGTGGTCTTTCCTGCATATTAATGTGAGGAAGGCAGTGTTTGCCTATATGTTGTTAAATTATTGGCTTAACATAGTGTAATAAACTTATGTTCTACAGTTAAAGAAATTGCAATTTTATCTTTATTCATGCCAGATGAAAGTGGCATGTACTAAATTCACAACATTATACATACTGATTAAACAAATACCAAAATTTTATTTACTGTAACACTAAATAGATATTGCAATTAAAAAGTGTTAGTTGCAATAGTTACAATATATGTCCTGCTGTAGTTTTGTAAGCCTATTACTATTTTGCTATTTGCAAAAATTTGCTATTTAGTAACCAATGATACATAGCAGAGTTACCATAAGTACTGTGCACAGAAATCATACAGATACTACATGTCACATCAGTGTTAAAAATTAACAATGTGGATTTTAGAAATCAAGCTTATATCCCTAAAAATACAATTTGAGTTGAGAAGTTCTGGAGAAGTTCAAAAATTTGCATGCAGTTTTTACAAATAGAAATAAAAACAGATCTACAACTCCACCTACTTTGAACAAAATTAAATCTTTAATACTTTTTTTAAAAAACCTAGAAGCTGCTGAATTTGAATTTATATTTATTTATTTATTGCAGAATCCCTCACTTTCACAGTTAGGTTATATTATATATTTGCTACTATTCATTGAAAAGTCTAGTGGCAGGAGATAGTCACATGAAATATAGGAAAGATTAACATTACATTTTGGAATAACAATCTTAAAATTTTGAAAGAACAGCCTAACAGTTTCTGGAAAAGGGACTCCAAAGTAAGCCGAAATATAAGTGATCAAAAACACTCAGCAAACAGGTCAATAGCTTTTTAAGCAGTTACAAATAATAAGTGAAACTACTGGCAAAAGAAAGCAAAAATAGTACCAATAGTAATAGGTGCCTTGGGTGCAATCCCAAAACATCTGGATCACCACTTGAACACCAACAGCATTGACAAAAATCACCATCAGTCAATTGCAAAAAGGCAGCTTTACTTGGAACAACTTATCTCCTGTGATGATACCTCTAACATCATTCAACATCTGCTTATCCAGGGTCCTTGGGAAGGACTCCGAGGTGTATAAAAATTTCAAACCTAATCTAAACAACTGATCGACTGTGTGACCAGCCATAATAATAAATAGCCAAGAACAGAGAACTTGGAACATTTGGTGTCACTAGTTTGGGCATTTTTTAAAAAAGTATTGATCAGTGTGAACTACTCCATAGTTCTGCAGGTGATAGAGCCCTTACAGATGCTCCACTTGTCAGCCTCCTGAGTGCTAAAAATAGAAGATGGAAGCATATAATTGAAATATAATTAAAACATCTGGCTTTCTTTTCCATTAGCAAATATTTTCCACAGAGTTGGTACTTTTAAAAGCATTAAAAACTACGGATTTCTTGAGGTCCAGCTATAGTACATGATCTCAATTCCATGAAGTAAAATATCTTAACGTATTATTATTTATTGTTATTGGTCTTTTTGTCCACCAATCATTAAAAAAAAGGAATATACTGACATACTACAAATGATATCAGGCTTACTGTATGAAATAGCCACTGGCTAAACTTTAACTTCTTTATGCATTCATATGATACTGTGAGTATATTATCTGCAAATAAAGGCAAATTGTAGATATTTTAGAAAATGTCGTGGTTACTTACAAAAAGTATACAGAGATTGAACAGAATGATTTCCAAGCATGTGCAATCATGGCAGAATGTCATGTTTTCTTGAAATATAATTATGCATTTCATTATATATATATATATATCCTCCAATAATTACTTCAGCGCGGAAAAAATACTATATGTAAAGCAACTGATTTTAGACCATAGAATAGTGTCTTTAAAATCTATTAACTGCAATGTAAACTATTGGCGTCAACACCAAACTGCAGTAATGTCAAGAAATCACACGCATAGTGACATAATGCAAATGCTTCAATAATATACTTGCATCCTACCTTCTGACACAAGCAGATAATTTGTAGTATTTGCATGTTAATATCATCATGCATGAATCATCATTTGCCCCAGATGCCCCCCATGGTGCAAATTAGTGCTACTTTTTTGTTCTTCGTGCTGCTATCTTCTTCTGGCAGAACTTCTTTAGAGATCATGGTCAGCAGTTTCTGTATGGCCTATGGAAACTAACCCATAATTTCTGTAGGGTCAGTAACCAATTTTGATCCATCCCATGATGTCTTAAACTGTTCAGGGACAGGAAATTCTTTCTGTAGGGAGACAAGATGGACTATATCAGTTGGCTAAACAAGTGTTGGTTATGATAACAATACCACTTTGATTAGCTTTCAGAGCTCAGAAATATCTGTATTATCAAGCAACCATATCATTACAGATACTGTATAAATACCATAGACAGAGTACAGGTAGTCCTCGACATACAACCACAATTGAGCCCAAAATCTCTGTTGCTAAGCAAGATAGTTGTTAAGGGAGTTTTGCCCCATTTTACGACCTTCCTTGCCACAGTTATTAAATGAATCACTGCAGTTGTTAGTAACCTGGTTGTTCAGTGAATTTGGCTTCCCTATTGACTTCTCAACTCCTCAGTTCCCATAAGCTCTTTAGAACAATCCTTTTGGTTTTTTAATAATTTCTAGCATATTAAAGGGGAGAGAGATGGTCTTGTTTCCAGAAATAAGCTGTTCCACAACATGGGACTTCCAACAGAGAGCTGCCCCAACATGCATTTAAAATTAAGGTGATTACTTCACTATGCTATGATCAATCATGTGGTGTACCATACAGAATATATTGTTAAATACATTATCTCCAAAGATACTGGCTCATTAAGTGTGTAAGTTCTTTATACTTTTTGTGTTTCTAATTGTTACCTCTTGATTTTGTAAAAATTTCACTTCCATATGCTACTGCGTATGAATGAGATTGACCACCCTGGCCCAGAACTGCTCAGTTTATCATTTCCTTGTCTTTTGTCATCTACTTTATGCAATGTTCTAACATTTCTGCAGATGTTTTCATCCCCTACAGTTCTCTGAGATGTGAAGGCTAATTTGGGAAATGCATGTATACTTTGTTGTGGATATACATTTCTGCACAGTGCTATCATAAACAACATCTGTTGTTTGAATGTGCAAATGCATAAAACAGGGTACATTGATTTTTTTTAAAAAAGGTTGCTAAGATAAGTTCTATGCATATTGCTCAACACAGCAGTTGAAAAAAAAAAGTGGGTCACTCATATGTACCCAGCATGTGCATGTAATGCTTTATCTCGTTTTTCTTGCCGTGTACATGTATACATACGAACTATACTGTGTTGTTTCTCTGTGTCATAATATATGTGGATATATGCTTACTTTTGTAGTTTTTTCTTTCTTTCTTTCATCATGTTTACGTAGTGTATATTGGAGGTGGTGCCCCTTTGAGAGCTTTATGCAATGAAATTTCATTTTAATATATGCCGATTGGTGTACATTCAAAGTGACAATAAAGTTATTCTAAGTCTAAGTCATCTAATTTCACATCAAGAACATATGGGGAAAAAAACTATACCGCACAGCACCCAACCTGATGGATTCAAGACGTTCACTAGAGGGCAACAACCCACCTCTAATATTGCTTCCTAGCAACTAATGCACATTGATGTTGGAAAAGGTAAATAACCATCAAGATATAATTGTACATCTCCTATTCAGTTCTTTAGAAGCCCTGTTAGGATCTTCCAGCAGTTGCAAAACAATCAGGGAAGCTAAGCAGTTTTCCACTTTTAGAAGAGTGAAAAATAACAAAAAAATAATAATTCTACCATAGTATAATCAATACCCATCCACCCCAATTTATGTCTCTTTCCCACCCCTCCCTTGTGAATATACAAGGATGAAAACCAAAATAAGTACAATAAGAGGCATTGGACTTTCTGGACCTCAGTGTCTACAAGGCTGAGGAGTGAATTAGCCATTGCCATCCAATCGTTGTTTAGTAAGCAGCACTGACTGGATCAGTTATTTTGTCCCCCAACAAATCCAAGATCATGTGGAGATAATTTTTCTACACTCCTTGACCTAACCATTTAGCCAACAAGTTTGTATATGTTAACTGCTTTCTCATATGTATATGTTAACAGTTAAGCATATTGTATAAATCACTCTATCATGTAAGTTTAACAGGATTAGAAGAGTTAAATCCCATATTAAAGACTTTTAGGGAAATGCTTCATTTTACTGATTTATCAAATATGCATGTTGCCAATTTCATTTTGACTCATGACTGCTGCACTGAAAACGTCCATGGTATATATAGCAGTATAAAAATAATAAAATATTCCTCATAAATATAAAACATTAAAACATATACAGTAAACTAGCAAGCAAATTTTGACTAGTAAAGAGAGTTTGGTCTTGTCGTGAAGGAACCAGCCTAGAAACCAGAAGACTGAGTTCTGCCTTAGGCATGAAAGCCGGCTGGATGACTCTCTCTCGGCCCAACTCATCACACAAGGTTGTTGTGGGGAAATAGGAGGAGGAAGAAGTATTAGGTATGTTTGCCACTTTGAGTTGTTTATAAAAATAATAAAACTGGATAAAAAAAGGTCTAAATAACAACAACAAGAATGTTTTGAAGGTAAAACTGGCCAGAGTCCTATGTGACACAAGCGGCTCTATTTTCTACAAACAACTCTATCATGGTCATACAAACTAAATTTCTGAGGACTATACTTGCTGTCCCAAAAAGCTTTTTCAAGACAAAATAAGTATCAGTGATACATTAAAGGGTTCAGTGTATGCTTCTGTGTTTTATAAAATGTAGTACTTACATAGTCGCCATTCAATGGTATCAGGATGTTCATTTCAGATGACTTAGCACTTACAATCTCACAATCTAATGATTCCTCACTGAGGTATATATGGCAGCCTTCAGTTTTGTTCACTGAAATGGTTGGCACTTTCCCAAGTACCTAAGACGATAAAGTCAAAAATCGAAACTAAATAAATCTTTATCTCCCCAAGAGGCTATTCCCTACCTCTGAGGCTCACACTGGCCTTTGTGTAATTATCTTAACCTGCCACAGAAGAGAAAAAAAGGACATTCTTCAGCATGAAAAAAATTATTTGAATTAAGGGATAGAAATAACTACAGTAAAAGCAACATTTCTAATACTTAAGGCAATGATTGTGTCAGTCCAAGCTCAGGTAATGTGGGGGACTCTTTCCCTCTATCCAGTTTCCTTAATTTAGCTCTGCCACTCAAAATACTAATTTCATAAAGATGGGGAGATGGATCATCTTACAACTGAATAGTACTTTTTTCTATTTTGGATTTGTTTTTCCATACTAGTGTTATATCAAGATGGGTTTACCTGTATCTGAATATCCTTGGAATTTATTACTTCAACAATACCAACAACATTGTCAAATACAAGGCCAAACTTTTTACAGTTGTCTGGAAAAAAAGAAAAGGATTGTATAGTTTATACAGTTATATTGTTTTTCATATGAGAAGGCATTTTTTTGGCCACTTCTTGCAAATACCTATGAATAACTTTAGTTATATGGTTATTTCTACAGACGTCAACAAAACTATCTTAAAATATTCAGCTAAGGTATAAACCCTTGCAGAATTGAGTCGTGTTACATGATGCTTATTTGGAAGAATAAACGAATGCTTGCCCAGAAAACTTGTAATAGACAGTGCATTCCTAGACATGTTTATTTGAAATTAAGTTCTGCTATGCACCATAAGACTTGCTCAAGATAAATGTGCATTTCAGCTTTAGTCTTGTTCTAGAAGTGAACTTACCAATAGTAATGGAATTAACTTTTCCTTTTATCTGTATTGTAGATTTATTGCACTTGAAAATATAAGCTACTTGCTTGAGCTCAGTGTCTGAAATTAATAGGTCATTCTTGTTCTCCTGGTACTCCTGCATTTTTTGAAACAAAAAGTTTAATTGATCTTATATTAGCCTTGAGTTACTGTACATATAAAGAGGTGAAATGAAAAAATATATCAACAGCAATACATAACATGTATTTAAAAAGAAATATGGTTCAAAATGGAAATCAATACAGTACGTTAAATATTTGTATGTAAAATAAAGCACAGAAGGAGGAACCAATTACTTATTTGCTGAATATGCTCCCTGTAACATGCATATTACAGATCCTAGAATATACTCCCAGGACAAACAGCTAAAATTTGGCAGCAAAATTTCAACATGTTTCCATCCTATGGTTGTTCTCACTTTCAAATACGGGGCCAGTAACCAACCCTAACCCTTAGCAGTCCTTGAGAGCAAAATAACTAAATTATACTGTCTAGCCACAAAATGGTTTGTCATTTTTTTAGAGAGCGTTCAATCTTGAACATCTGGTCTTAGGTAAAGAAGCAACTTATATTGGAAATGAAATTTAGTCAACAATAAGTTAATGCCACCACCTTTTTCCTTATGATATGAGCAAATATTGAATTTTGGGCTGAACTTTATAAATCCAGCATCATTCTTTTTGTTCTCCTTTCTGTCAATTTCTTAGGATAAGAAATAGGATCCTGCTCTTCAAAAGAATGTGGAAATTATAGTAGTTGAGAAATACGGCATCATACCAGCGTTTTGGCAACCCATAAAAGCCAAAAAGACTGAGTACCGGTATTTTACAGGGCTGTCTCTCCCACCGGATGAGATTGATCCTGTAGGCTTATCCTAAGGGAAGCTGATGAAGGTCTCAGCCTTCATCAGGAAAGAGACTAGGATCTCTAGGCATGACTATAATGTTGTTATTATTATAAGATTGATAAGGAAGAATAGAATGAGTTGTAACTATTCATTATTTTTCCTTTATTAGCAAATGCATAAGGAATCATTTTCATTCTTCATTCAGCCAGAATGCAATCTCTGTAAATATGGAAATGTCTTATTTCTTACCTGGTAACAATTTAACCAAAGTCTCACACTAAATGTAAAGTAGAGTTACTATATGATATAGTTATTCTATGATTTCCAATCTAAATTACAGCCCTGCTACTTCTTGGTGATTGCTCATCCAGGTATTAATCAGTCCCAGCTCTGCTTAGCTTCTCAGCCCAGAAAGGCTAGCTAGCTGTTGCTACCTGCTGGATCCAATATATGTTTCAGTTGGTTATTTAAAATTCTTAGGAAGTAAAACTATTAATCCTATTACAAAAAAATTCAAGCACACAGTTCTTAGGTAACAGTTCAATGGAAAAGTCACTTACAATCAACTGTAAGATAATTTCCAGGTTACCTACAAGTGAGTTGAACTTACCACTCTCCATTTCTTGCCTTCAAGTTCTAACACAGGAGAGTAACTCTTTTGAGGAGGTATTTTGGGAGACTCAGCAGCATAGGTTTTGGTAGGAGATTGCATTGGTACTCCTTGAGCACGCAGACTGGGATTTTTATGGGTCTTCTGGGCATCAGAGACATGTTTAAGCCCTATAAAAATCACAAGCAATAGTAGAAATTTTAAAAAGTTTTTTTTTAAACTTATAAGCTTTGCTTTATTAATATATGATAGTCAAAGTATTATTCATGTACTGTATTTGGTAAATTGACATATATTTGAATACATCTATTTGTAGAACATTCAATTTAATTGTCAAATTTAAAAATATGGTAGAGCTTAAGGTTTCTCAGAAAGTAAGGAGTAACCTTAAGTCTCCTGGGATAATTCATATTCCAAGAGGTACTCTCAGCCTTTAAATGTTATCTAAATCAGAATCATGAGACCAGCTCTCCAGATGTTGGCATCTCCCATCACCTTTCATGTTATTGCCAAAAGCTGTTGGAAGTTGCTAACACTAACAATGGGAGGATCATAGCTTCTTTGTCCTAACCGAAGGTATTTATTTTCGGTGCTCTTATTAACCTGAGTGTCCTCCAGATCATTGCCATATTTATTTATTTGTTTGTTGAAATTATATAGCTGCCTATATTTTAATCAACTCTGGGTCAATTAATGCCCTTATTGATCGGAGTGTTCTCCATTACAAATGTGGGTATTTATATTTCAGTAAATCCCTAGTATAGGTAGTAGATGATGTATAGCTGGACCCATGTCCATACAACCATGAATGTGGTTTTAGTAATTAAAATAGGACAACAGATTCAAAAATGGGCCTGCATTATGCACCAGAAATAAAACATGAATGTGGACTTCTAAGGAAAAAATGGTCAACTGAAGAAGGCTCAACTAAAAGAAGAGAATAAAGATCAACTAAAAGTAGAGAATAAAGATCCAGTAGAATAAAGAACCAGTGAGTTCTTTAACCAGATTGGCTAATTGTAATTCCTCTCTGGACAAGGAAAGGATTTGAGATTGCCCACAAGTGCTCCAAACACTTGCTCCTCATGAGAAGATTGCAAGACAGCAGTCTCCAGCAGGCTTAAACTCTGAGAGACAAGGGAGTGGCGGTGCCTTTAAGGGTACTAGGTTCACATACTTTCTTTTCTAATCACTTTCAGAAATTGCTTGTTAACTGCTTTTCAGCTATTAGGTATGTTTTATTCAACAAGTTTGAATTTTATTTTATTTTTCTTTTGAAATAAACAGCAAAAGGGGTTATTAGAATGTTGATTTTGGCACTCTGTTCTCCACTAGCAACCTGTGTTCCACAGAACAACCAACACATTTGCTTAATGAACATTACACAGAGAGCAGGAATTGTGGTTGTTAAATGAGGCAATCACATGTGTGCCTTGCTTAATGAGCACTGCAATGTACAATCATCACTCCAGGCTTAATTGTGGCTGTAAATTGAGGACTAACTGTAATGGCAGACACCATTAAAATTAACTTCTGGGTCCATTGTTCAAGAATATGTCAAATGTTTTAAAAAAATTATTCCATTCTATATTAAGTCAAATTTAATGGTTCTTCTCTTTTACCTGTAATCATCAGTTCCTTCTATTCCTACTGGTGTCCAACTTCAAATCCCATCCTATCATTTTTTTCTAAAAATAATTCAAAACAAAAAGTATTTTCCCATGGGAAGGATTCTTATAATCAATTTCAAAGTCCTTTCCAAATCCATCTGGACCCTTAGTCTGTTTGTAACTTTCCAAAATCAATACTCCAAGCACCTTTTTTGCTGTTTATTCCAAAAAATATTTTTTCTTAAACTCAAACTTAAAACTTCTTTTAATAAGGAGGAGACTCACTCAATGGATGCAATAAAAACTTGCTATTCCAAACATTCTTAATATTTGCCAAGCAGTAAAAAGAAACAAACCCAAACAGTGATTAAGAAATGAGGTTTGGTTGAGCTTTGTGTCCACACAGGCTACATTAGACTGTGAGCTTAGATGGAATCCCTTGACTCCCAGCTGCTCACTGAAGCCAACCGTTAAAACTTGGGTTCCTGCAGCCTACTCACAAGAAGGAGCTGTCTGGAGTACATATGGGCAATCTCATAATCTCAACTTTCTCCGGAAGGTTTCGCCGGCCATGATCCAGCATCTGGCTGCCAATCTCCATCATAAATGCAGTCCCCACTGCTTCAGGGATGTTCAGCTCACCATTACTTCACCAGAAGTGTCTGCAGTGTCAGATTTCCAAGTTAAGCATTTTTAGCATAAAGATGTTTGCATTCATGAAAGCAAGTGTTTTTAACTTTTATGAGAAAACGTAGAGCATAATGGTTTGAAGAGATGCTAAGTTATGGTAGGCTTCATACCTTTAGTAATTGTCTCTCCCTGGTTCAATTGCGCAAATAAGGCTGAACGAGATGCAGTTGCATCATCTTTTGCATTTTCTGTATCGATGGCAGGAGGAGGTCCTGGTGGCGGAGGTGGCGGAGGTGGCGGTGGTGGTGGAGGGAGGCCTTGTTTGTTCCCTAGAGCAGGCAAACTTGATGCTGCTGATGCTACTGGACCCTAATTATATTTTTAAAAAGTAAACAGATGGAGTTTCTGTAAAGTGCAATTTTATTCCAATGTTGTGAACGTAAAACAACCAAATGAACAATTCAGCTAATAGACAAAAAAAGAGGAGAAATTTCTCTATAACAGCCATACAGGTAGTCCTTGACTTGCAACAGTTCATTTAGTGACTATTCAAAGTTACATCATCACTGAAAAAAGTGAGTTGTGACCATTTTTCACACTTATAGCCATTGCAGCATCCCCATGATCCTATGATCAAATGCTCAGAAGTTGACTCATATTTATGACGGATGCAGTGTCGCAGAGTCATGGGATCCCTTTTTGTGACCTTCTGTCAAGCAAAGTCAATGGGGAAGCCAGATTCACTTCATAGCCATGTCACTAACTTAACAACTACAGTGATTCACTTAACAACTGTGACAAGAAAGGTCGTAAAATGGGGCAAATTTCACTTAACAAATGCCTCACTTAAAACAGAAATTTTGGGCTCAATTGTGGTCGTAAATTGAGGATTGCCTTTGCCCATCAGCTATTTCACCTGGTAACTAGACTTTCATTGCAGCAAGGATGCTTGAAAACAGGTGGTGTAAAATTTGTGCTTTATACTAGTATACATTTACAGAAGAAACACCTTGACAAAAGATCTATGTCTCTGGGCCACAGTCCACCTGTTCTACTAGGTTGTTATATGATCTTCTGAGCTTCAGAGTCTCTTTTTTATGTCTGGGTATATGTATGAACAGAACAATATAGGACTCTGTAATTAATTATATGAAGCATACAAAACTTTGTAGGGTTAGCGCCTTTTCACCGACAGAATGCAATTTTATTCTTTCAGGATTTTATTAACTAGTTGATGTTGAGTGGATGTTCAGTTAAAACATAAACATTTTTCAGATGTTGATAAGATATATATTCCTGAACAAGTACATTAAACACAAACTTAGAAAACCTGGAATAAACATGACCTTCAAGGTTCCTTTCAACTCTTTTCCTGTTATTGTTTACTACAAATTAATCTGGTTTAAGGCAGGCAGAATTAATATCCTTAAGAAATACATATAAATATCTAACCAAGAGAGAGTTAAGGTTTGTAAAAATACTGAGAGGTAGGCAAGGTACACATAGTTCACAAAAGCTCAAACATTTGGTGGATTTCTTTTATTTTTGAACTCTGGTGTGCCTATTTAGAGCTTATAATGTCATTTTCATGTTTCCTACCTCAAAAAGGCAGGAAACTGCTGTCAGTTTCCACCTCTAGCCTGAGGAGAGGAAGCTCCAAGAGAAACAAAAGTGTTGTGCTTCAAATTCAAGCACCAAAGCGCTTCCAGGTTGAAAAGATTATCCAGTGACATCACTGTTGCCTTGGGGACACCTGGTTGCAGGCTCCTTTCATGTCCCTATTCATGCGCCCATTGAAGTGGTACCTATTTATCTACTCACATTTGCACGCTTTCGAACTGCAAGATGGGCAGGAGCTGGAGCAAATGACAGGAGCGCATCCCATCACACAGTAGCACTTGAGTCTCAAACGCGGGCCTGCTGTTTGTCAACCCAGCGTTCTAACCACGTATGCCACCACGCTCCTCAAGGGCTATGCTAAGCAATAACAAAACAATACATGAACAAAGCCATGAGATTTATTAAGCATAGTTTATGGCTTTGTGTTATATGTATATCGAGCCACTCTGTCTTGTTCAAAAACCACAATCAAAGGAAGTCATGCCTTACTGCAAAAGGCATAACAAATTACCTAGTGACTTTTATGATTGATTGTTTGATCTGAGTGCCTCCCATGTTGTCTAGAATATATGTTAAGCAATATAGCACCTTTGCCAGTTCAGTATTAATGACCCAATGAAATTGGGTATTATGCTATGTGCTATGTATGAAAATTGACAAATACCTGATTGCTCACAACTTCTGCTTGAAAAAATGTTACCTTTACATATCAACAACCACCTGTGAAACATGATAAAACTGGAAGCTGTAATTAAAAATGCAATGGCTCAGCCAAAACCAAACATGCCTCATTATAGCTTAATAGCATAGCCACTCAGTCACTGTGTGAGGGTGATTAATCAGTATTGTTGCAAATTGTACTTCTATCCTCAGTTTTTAAATGTGATTTTTAGTGAGAGAAGAACAAAATTAAGGCGGCCAACAATCTCATCTCTTCTCCATTTACAAGTTCCAAGTGAATTCCAGGGACAAGCTTTTTGGTTCCTGCTGTCATTCATGAAACACTAAGATTGTATTACTACTATAACTTCCATTTAAAACCTGATATTCATCCATTTGACATAACTGTTTCCATGAAAATTAATATGAAAATAATATGTAGCAACCTCCAATAAATATTTTGGCAGAAGTATTATTATATATTGTCATACATTGCCTAACCATTTGAAATAATGGACAATAACAAAAGAGAACAGCTGTCCCCCAAGGAGGCAGCTGACATAAACCTAGGAGACAGACATTGTAAACATTTGTGCTAAATAGTTTTTATAAGCTGTTTATAAAGATTTATTGTTAAAACATCTGCTCAGATTTAATCTAATGAATTGCTAGCAATAGCAAACACCTGCTGCATGAAGGCAAGGTCAACTCTTGAGAACCTGTAACATGCCTGGGGAATTATGAGTTTACAGAAGCCATAAACTTAACTCTGTGCATTAAAATACACAGAAAAAGTGATTTAAGTAATTTTAAAAACCAAGTTAGGTAAAGCTGCAAAAGAATGCATGAACAAAATGGATATCAACCAATGTTGTTAGCGTGGCTGGTACATGTTGTTCTTTGTATGATTAAATGTTTAAAATGTAGGTCCAAGTATACAGATAGTCCTTGGGTTACAACCATTCATTCAGCAATGGGTTCAAAGTTACAACAATTCTCAACAAGGGGTCTTACCATGGTTCCTTGGAGTTCCGGTCATTGCAGCAACCCCACAGTCACATGATTGAGATCAGGGTGCTTGGCACCCAGCTCACAATTATGACATCACAGTGAGTCACAGTGACATGACTTCAGTTTCTAATGATCCCTGCTGGAGAGCAAAGTCAATAGGGAAGCCAGCAGGAAGTCAGGAGATGTGATCAGAACACTGAATTACAGAGTTGGAAGGGACCTTGTAGGTCATCTAGTCCAACTTCCTCCTCAAGCAGGAAACCCTATAACATTTCTGACAAGTGACTGCCCAGTCTCTTCTTGAAAGCCTCCAATGATGAAGCACCCACAACTTCTGAAGGCAAGCTGTTCCATTGGTTGATTGTTCTCACTGATGTAAAGTTTCTCCTTATTTTTAGGATGAATCTCTCCTTGTTCAGTTTCCATCCATTATTCCTGGTCTGGCCTTTGATGCTTTGGAAAATAGGTTCACCACCTCCTCTCTGTGGCAGGCCCTCAATATTAGAACATAGCTATCACCCCTGGTCCTTCTCTTCACTACACTAGTCATGCTCAGTTCTTGCAACCATTCTTCACACATTTTAGCCTCCAAGCTCCTAATCATCTTTGCTCCTCTTCTCTGCACTCTTTTTCCACGTCTTTTTTATAGTATGATGAGCAAAACTGGATGGAGTATTCTAGGTGTGGCCTTACTATGGCTTTATAGAGTGGTACTGGTACCTCATGTGATCTTGATTCAATCCCTCTGTTAATGCAATTTAGGATTATATTGGCTTTTTTGGTTGCTGCCACGCACTGCTGGCTCATATTTAATTGATTGTCCACTAGGACTCCAAAGTCCCTGAGGTCCTCGCTTAACAACATGCATGGTCTTTGTTTAAATGACGTAATTGCCTTCGCTAAGTGGTGTGGTCATATGAAGTTCCATTTTACAACTGTGACTTAGCATCAGAATTCCTGGTCCCACTCCCATCACAACCTGAAGACTACCTGTATATAATTTTCCTAATTTTCTTGAAACTGTCAATTATGGAATCAAAGATGCTAAGAGATGGAACATTTAAAATCTTCTCCTAACTCATTTATTTCATAAAGTTCTTTGTCCTGGAAATATACCATTGCTGGGAACCAAAATGATATTTTTGGTTTTTTTCTTTCTTAGTTCAAGAATAATTTTAACCCTCTCCAACACTAAGCTGGGAACCCTACTGTACACTAATGTATTAATTATCTTTTTTCACAGTGGAAGGTAAGGAATAGAGCACTTACAGTTTTACTCCAAATGAGCCCAGTAGTGTGATATTCTTTTATGTATGCTTGAAGCTCTGTCCAAATATTCAGGAATGATTTCACCCAATCAACGTGACGCAAATCACTGTAACACAATAAAAGCTACTTGTACATGTTCTTTAGGATCCCTTCTGACCTTCAAGTCAAGGAGGGAATTGCCACTGATGGTAATTTGTAATCTCTTGAATCGTATTTAAAAAGCTACCTACTGAAATTCAATACAGGTAGTCCTTGACTTATGGCAGCAATTATGACAGAAAACTATGTCACCTGCATGCTGGGTTATAAAGTGAGTCGCTACTGATTAATGATGGCAATCCCTGCATCCCAGTTGTCATCATTAACTGAATCCACAGTCGTTAGATGAGACATTTGTTGCTGGTTTCCCACAACGAAAGTTAGTAGAGCAGGGTTGTCAAATGGATGGCCCACGGACGGATGCATCACGCACAGGCCAAACCCATCCCAGCTCCGCGAAGGGGAAAATGTCACAAAATGTCATGTGACACAGTGATTTTGACACCCATGCAGTAGAGAATCCAGCAGGAAGTTTGAACTCTCAGGCCTGCAGGCAGGTAAGTGGCTGTTGCCAGGAGGGGGTGAGGGGGTGTACATGAGATGTGCAGTACGGGGTATCTGAGGCTGCAACAGAGGGTTTGGGTGCGTGTGTGTGAGGTGGTGAATGAGGTGCTGTGTTGATTAGTGTGGGTGTGTAATACCCGAAAATAAGACCCTGTCTTATATTTTTTTGAACGCTGAAATAAGCGCTTGGTCTTATTGCCATGCGCTCAAAAGCCTGATTGGGCTTATTATCAGGGGATGTCTTATTTTGGGGGAAACAGTGTATGTGTGTTAAATTTTAAGATTTGTAGACTTTAATTCCCAGAATTTTGGAAGTTGAAGTCTGTAAGTCTTAAAGTTGCCAAGGTTGAACACCCCTGCTTTAGAATGTAATAAAAATGATTCAGACACACCAGCCAAGTAAAATAATTAAATTGGTTGATGGAGGTGGTGTTGGAGAATATTAACTTACCTATGCTTGTAGTCTTTTAACACCCTATTAGTATAAAATGTAGCAGCATCGTTCATCTCCTTTACATAAGGCCCTGGCTTAGCAGACTAAAAGAGAACACAGGAGCATTGTATAAAATCACAGGAATCCATTTTTAAGAGACAGAGAAAAGGTAAATATAATCATGGGGAAAAAAAACCCCTCCTTCCTATTTTAACTGATAGCTATTTCAAAGAAACATAGATGTCTCAGAGCTTGCGGAAGTCTAATTTGCTGACCTTGTTCTCTAAGAAAAGTAAAGTCACTTCATGATTCCAAGTGACTATTTAGGACTATGCTTGCAATTTCCTTGGCAGCAATATGGAAGCAGTCTGGAATATTTGCCACCGCCTTATTCAGGAATGCTTTCATGACTTCACAGTTTAGTACAGGCCTGGTAGTGATCTCCTAGCCATGTACTAAACAGATCCAATAGCTTTTCCATTGGTCAAATCAACTAAATGTTTCCACGCACCAATCCCACTATTGAGGGATGAAGTCCCATTCAACATAGTGAGCTTTTTAAAGAAAAAATCTTTAAAAGTGAGGTGGTGATATGATAGTACCATCTGCAAGCAATGAGGTCTGAACCAAGGTTGCATGGTAGATAAGAGTGAAAAAACTGGTTTTGTTTCGAAAATGTCCACTTCTAAAATTCATGACTTACAATTGTTACCCATCCAAGAGCTGGAATACTTTCGCTGACAGCAGACAGATGATTAAACATATTGCTTCCACGATTTCTCTCTCTGAACGTCTGAATCTCCTGAATCTTTTCTGATATTGGTTTTAGAAGAATGGCAACTTCATTCTGCAATATAAATAAAATGAAGAAATCAGTAGAACAGAAATGGGGTTTTTTTTATGTGTACGTGCATGCCTGTGTGCACACACGCATATACAAATTAATTTTCTTGTCATTATTGAAATGGAGATCACAAAATTTGTTCAGTGTGTTAAAGCTACCCAGCTCTAAGAACACTTCCGCTATCAGAGAAGTCATTTGTCTAATGTGATGATGACATGATGTGTTTTGAAATATTTGAGAGTAATATCAAATGATGAAATGTAGATAGACTCTGAACTAAAAAATCAACTTCCTGGGCATTTTAAGGTTCTTACGTGATGAATTGTCTTGTGAAGTAAAATGTGTTTCAGTTGTTATATATCTGGGAGCCTTCCTGTTCATTCTACCCAGAGGATACATAAATATTTCTTTTCTAAAGTTCTGCCCTGATAGCACTAGTATTAAGAATAGTCCAGAAGATATCAAAGACCCAGAAAAGCAAATGTTGAGGATTAGTACTTGTAGAAATTTATCCTTTTTAGGAAAATAATCATCCATATTTAATAAGGAAAGACAGACATTTTAAGTAATATTAAATGTCTATGATTCAAACGTTATCTCATTCCTAAAGCCATAAAAATGTCTAGAGCCATATAGGAAATTGCAAAAAGCTCAGAGCAAAAAAACCCCCAAATAACCTTGCTATAATATGTTTAATAGGAATTATCCTAAATTACATAGGTTAGATCTTACATTTCTGGATGGCTAATTCTGTATCTATCTACCTTGATACCATTTTTAGAGCCTTATTTTTAAGCACTACATTACATGAACACTTTCCCCCCTTTGTCTCATATTTTATGTACAAAGAAACCATTTTCTCAACCTTTTTAAAGCTGTTTTTTCTAATGTGCACCGTTCTCATGGCAGCTAAAGAGGTGGAACGCATCATAGCACTGTGAAATTTCATTAGCATTCTTAAATTTTTGTGCAGAGTAGATTCACTCAGGTTTTAAAAGCTTATCCTAGGGCAAGGATTCTCCACCAGCTTCAGCACAAATTAATAGTTTCACCTTTGTTTCTAGTGCTGGAGAGGTCCCTTTGGGTAAGGAAGTTTGGCAAGATATTTAACAGCTGTTTTGATCCCATAGTACAATTGGTAGGAAGAGCTGTGGTGGCGCAGTGGTTAAGATGCACTATTGCAGGCTAATTCTGCTGACTGCCAGCAGTTCGATTCTTACTGGCTCAAGTTTGACTCAGCTTTCCATCCTTCCGATGTCGGTAAAATGAGGACCCAGATTGTTGGGGGCAGTATACTGATTCTGTAAACCGCTTAGAGAGGGTTGTACAGCACTGTGAAGGGGTATATCAGTCTAAGTGCTATTGCTATTGCACTAAACATGTACCACTAGAACAACAGCACAATCCAATGATGAATGCATAAGGGAGGATAGAAAGGGGTTTGGCTAGGAAAATACAAGCAGTTTTGGCGGGAAGAAGTCTTGATATGTTTCTAGACCATTGGTGCAAATGAACTTTTTTATTTTGTACTTTCAAGTCAGTTTTGACTGCCTGGGTTAGTCCCTGAAGTTATTTTCTTGGCAAGATTTCAAAAGTAGTTTGCCATTGCCTCTTTCCTGAGGTTGAGAGATAGTGACTGGCTCAAGATCACCAGCTGGCTTTGTGCCTAAGATGGGAGTAGAACTCATTGTCTCCTGGTTTCTAGCCTGATGCCTTAAACAGTACGTCACATTGGCTCTTAATAACAAATGGAATATACTGGCATAAATCACATAATAGCACTATTTTTCCCTGCATAAAGTGATTGAATGGAAATAATCAATTGCATAATAGAAAATCACATAAACAGATATCACATAAAGTGAGGGAAATTGTATTTTAGTGGGAATTCTTAATACATAATTACTTTTAGTTTATTCCCGGGCCAAAGTGTTTTTAAAATAACTTCCCACTTCTTGTTTACTTAAACAATAATTTACAGTTGTTTTTAACGTATTGCTTAAATTGAAGCATTTGAAATAAATTCCAAATAAGTGGAAAAGTTTAAATCGCAGTTTTCCAAAGAGTAATTTTCAGACAGTAGCTATTAGCCAGCTAGTATACGTAAACTGTAGTATCAGATTATGGTTTTCTCATGTGACCATTTCCACTTCACATACAAATATAGAACATGACCATAAAAAGGAACAAAGCATTCACTCTGCTAAGTAATTTATTGTAGTTGTTACAGGATTGACATGCCAGCTGGAATTATCTTCTTGGCTCTTGCTATTTTTGCATATGCAGGGAAATGAGGAGCTCTTCAAGATGGAATAAAATGTAAGCACTCTAGCAGAAACATATATCAGAAAAATCACAATGAACAAACATTTCTTTGTGACTTGCTGGGCATCGATGCTACATTTGAACTAAGGAATCCTAGATGCTTCAGAATGCTAATGGTTTTGTTTTCTGTTATTACTTTAGGATAAATTGTGCAATTCCTCTCCCCCCACCCACCCAAACATTGCTTCTGAATATTTGCAAAGCTGTGAAGACATGATCAGCAACAGCTTATTCATCTACCAGTTCACAAACTGTATGGAAAGCTCAAGGACACACAACTGCTTGCTTTTTCAAGAGTTCCTGTCATCTTAATATGCTTTTCTATTCCCTGGGAATTCTGATGAAAATTAATGCTTCTTCTACCTGTCTGCGTTTTGCTTAAGTTTGTGATTTTAGCTTAAAGTACAAACAGAAATAGATGATGTCACATTAACAAAGTATTTTCTGTCTGTTCATATCAGGTTTTCTTCTTACTGTAATGCACTATTTGGAAACCTACAACACATATTTCTTGCTTTCGACAAGATGAAACTATTATATCACTTGCAGTAGAAAATGCTACTGAAACAGATGAACGCTTGTTACAGAATATTTATTTTGCATGACAGCTGTGTTTTACACACATACAGCTGTGTTAATTTTACACTACGATATATTTCAGCTTATCATAATGACAGCAAAAAAAATGTTTTTCTTTTACTTAGGAGGACTCACCATATCCTATATATTAATCAATGTTGCTAGAAGTTCTAAATTAGTAATAGCTAACTTGGGGACCACCAGGAATTGTGGAAGGTCCAAAATTCTGGAGGATACCTAATTGTTTGATAATGTGCCATCAAGTTGGTGTGAAGCCTTACCAGACAGATAATTTGAACCTGGTTATTTGTGCCTTGAGCAAAAACTCAAGGTTGATTTGTTCAATGAGTCATTTCTTTGTTTTCTTGGCTGGCTAAGGTATTCCCAAGAGTCTTTTCCAACACCAAGGTTCAAAAACATCTTCCTAACCTGCTTTTTCAAAGTCCAACTTATGCTTCCATAGGGTGTCACATAGAATGCCATTGCTTGCATTATTCTGATCTTTGTAGGTACAGACACATCACAACACCTGAATATCTTCCCAGGGCCTTCATAACTGCTCTACTAAGTGCTAGTCTATGGCTGGCTGTTGTATCTGCTGTAATCAGTTTTGTCTTCTTTATATATAATTTTAGTCCCATTTTTTCAGGGTACTTTTTATTTTTATTACCAGAGTTTGCAGATGCTTTGCATTGTCAGGTATCATATTAGCAATAACACTTAAGATTTACAGTATATATTGCTTCACAGTGCTTTACAGCCCTCTCTAAGCAGTTTAGAGTCAGCATATTGCCCCAACAATCTGGGTCCTCATTTTAGTGACTTTGGAAGGATGGAACGCTGAGTCAACCTTGAGCCGGTAACAATCGAACTGCTGAACTGCTGACAGTCAGCACTCATCAGAGTTAGCCTGCAGTACTGCATTCTAACCACTGCGCCACCATGGTGTCATCAGCATAGCGTAGGTGACTGAATTTTCTTCTTCCAATTTTAAAACTACGCTCATCTTTTTTTAATTCATCTTTCCTTAATATACAATATATTCAGCATATAAACTGAATAAATAAGGGGAAAGTATAAAGCCTTCTCACACTCTGTGGCCAACCTGAAGTCACTCTCTTTTGCCTTGTTCTGCCTATACTGTAGCTTTCTGAGCTGTATATAGGTGTTATCCAGGACAATGAAAGGTTCTAGGATTCTTATTTTTCTAGATAGTTTCCATAGCTTGATATGACTGTATAATTGAGGGCGTTTCTATACTCTATGGAGCAGACAGTGACTTCTTTGGGGCATTCTTTGGCTTTCTCAATTATCCAGCCTGTATCAGTGATAACATTTTGTGTTTTATGGATTTTTCAAAAGCTAGCTTGAATATCTGGCATCTCTTTTCCAGATTTTAATCTGTGTTGGATGATCCTAAACATTATTTTGCCAGCATGTGAAATTATGAATATTGTAATGATAGCTTGGCAGCTCATACATGTTGTTAAGTCTCCTTTTTGATACTGGAATGTAGATTGGCCTCTTCCGATCTGTTTTTCTCCAGATTTGCTGATATAACTTAATTACAACCTTTAATGATTCAGCTTCTGTTGTTGCCATTTTCTGTGAGGGTGTTCTATTAATTCCTACAGCTTTCTGACTTGGTTATAACTAGAGTGCTAATGTAACTTCATTTTCGAGTACTATAGATGAATGTACCGGTAATTATAGAACATTTTCTACAGTATCTTGGATGATGCATCCCTACTATACAGTTATAGTACTTCATTATATCCATTCCACTTTTTAGCAGTACTATAATCAATTTAATTTCTATGCCCTAGTCTGGTTATGTCCATATATAGCGGTGTTGTTTGAAGATTTAAAGTCATTGTTAAGTTGCTCTCCTACTTCATTTTGGTTTCCTAAATCTTACAATCCAACTCCATTTTCCTCCTTAACATTTCCAACTTTGGCATTCCAGTCTCCAATCACAAGCAGCACACCTTGCTTTTGCATGTTCTGTCAATTTCAAATTGAATTTGATAACAAAACTCATCCACCTCCTCTTCTGCATTAGTGGTTGGAGCATACATAGACAGTCATAATATTAAAGGGATGTCCATAAAGTCTAATCGATTATAGTCATTGATTGCACTATAGGAAGTCACTGTTCATGCTATACCCTTTTTAATTATAAAAGCAACTAATCCCTATTTTTGTTTTTCATACTGTGAGTAATAAACGGCTTTATCTTCTGACCGAATGATTCAATTCTTCTTAATTCATTGATGCCTAAGATGTCAGCTTGTAGTCCTTTCGTTTTATCTTTCTCTGGGTTGAGTTTTCCCGTGTTCATGCTTCTTACGTGCCATTTTCCCATTGCAATGAAACCTTTGTAGCTTTGGATTTTCTTTTCCTGCATGGCAACTGAACACCCCAAAGGCTTTAAGCTAGCCATATCAAAAGTAGCACTCTAAAAGGTCTTCAGCTCTTCCTCTAGTGGCATGTTGAGTGTTATCCATCCATTATTCAGTATTTGTGTTGCCAATCACTTTATATTTTTTATCCATGCGGTTTTGTTAATAAAACATAGGAGTGGTTTACCATCGCCTTCTCCTGCGCGATGTCAATTGATGCCTTTGCCATTGTCATTAAAATGATCATCTACCCTCAGCATCTTCCTATATCGCTGGTGCCGGCTTGCTTTAGCTGGGCAGCTGGTATGACTTTCATGCTTGGATGACCTTGCTAGGAATATATAGTCTTATTAAACATTTCAGCATTTTTCAGTCATGTCTTCCAGCAACATTTGCCCACCACAATGTGGCAACACAACAGCCTATGTCAATGGACAATTTGTCCGTGGAAAAATTCAGAAAAAAACAACTAGTATGTTTAGAAAGAAAATACATATACCAGTAGGTAGTCCTCACTCAACAACAGTTTGTTTAGTGACCTTTCAAAGTTACAATGGCACTGAAAAAAGTAACTTATGACCATTTTTCACACTTATGACCCGTTGGTGATGTGATCAAAATTCGGATGCTTGGCAACTGACTCATATTTATGACAGTTGCAGTGACCTGGAGTCATGTGATCGCCTTCTGTGACCTTACAAGCAAAATCAAAGGGGAAGTCAGATTCATTTAACAACCGTGTTAGTAACTTAACAACTGCAATGATTCACTTAACAACTGTGGCTAAAAAGGTTCTAAAATGGGGAAAACTCACTTAGCAAATGTCTCACTTAACAACCGAAATTTTGGGCTCAATTGTGGTCATAAGTCGAGGACTACTTGTACTGAAAATTAAAATTAACCTCAATTTATCTTCATATATATGAAGTCTGTCAATATCTTAGAAAAGATTACTGGGTTTTTAGGAGGAAAGGACCATCTTTCAATAGTTTCATAGCTGCTCCCGTATAAACTGTTTTTTTTTCTTTTGGACTTTTATTGCTTCCATTGCTGTACTTGGATTATTATTTCTGTAGCACAGTATTAATTATTTTAAAGGATTGACATTTCTTCTTCCCTTTCCCTACTTGAATGAAAAGGAATTAAATTGTAATAAAGATGGGTAAATTATTTAAGCCCCATATTGGAATCAATCCGCTACCTTGGGTTTTGAAAGAAAAAAAATTACACTCACTTTGCATTTAGCAGGATTTTCTCCAACATCAGATTAGATGCCATATATCTCAGTATAAGGAATGCTAAATTTGTTTTAAGTAATTTAAGACAGTCCCTTATGATTAACTTGTAACATCATACTAAATCATGGTTTGTTTTCATCAAAGCAGATGTCAGTCATATCTTAATATGATATAACTGGCTGTGTTTACTTACTTACTTATTTATTTATATCCCTCCTTTATTATTTTAACAAATAACACATACATACTCCTTCTTCCTCCTATTTTCTCCACAACAAACCTATGAGGTAATTTGTTGTGAGAGTGACTAGCCCAAAATCTCCCAGCTGGCTTTCATGCCTAAGGTGGGACTAGAACTCAGTCTCCTGGTTTCTAGACTGGCGCCTTAATCTCTAGATCATACTAAAACCCAAACCAAACCATTATAATTATGGTTTGAAATCTCAATAAAGTTTGCACAATATCCAGTCAACCCAAAACAAATCACATAGTGGTTATCTTGCAAAGTATGAATCAGGTGTGTGAATTTTTATATACAATTAACTTGTCATTTAATGAAAGTTTCTTACTTCACAACTTTATCAGAACTATTATCTAGAGAACTAAAAGAAATTTTGAGATATTTCCCGATATTTAACCAAGATTGGGAAAGTCTTAACTTTATTTATAGGACTCCTACATCCTCCTGCAGAAATTCATCTGCCATTCTCCAGGGTATGGTCTTTTGTTCTGGGCATACATCCAACTAAACCACTGGGCTCCAGGAGCCAATCATTTTTATTTTTTAAATAAGTATAGGCACCCAGACTTTTCTTTTAAAAATAAAATGAAGCCAAAGTCTGATTTTGTTTTTGCCAACTTCCCGTTTTTAGAAACCAACCAACAAAACTTTGAACAGTTCAAGTGACCACAAGATGTCTTACCTCCTGAGGTTCTTGATAATGTGAGGTCAACCAAAGAAATGCCCTTTGAGCTTGGAAAGCGGCCTGAATCATTTCTGCCTATGAAAAAGGAATAAGCAAGGGAATAAGCTGTGAGTTGAAAGTATTAAAAACAAACACTTTTAAGAGGCCTTTCTCTACCTGAGACTGTTATGATCCCTTGAATAAAGCTATCCAAATCTCTTTGATCGGCAAATTCTATTTATCTAAACCCATGTACTCTCATCAAGCTACATTGTGGTTTCTAGTACCGGTACCTGCTAGCAGAGCAGCACACTTTGTAATATAGAAGTAAAGGTAACATTTAACTTTTCATCCATTCATCAAGTTCATCCATTTTTTATACATTCCTGACAGAAACCATTTCTGCTTTCATCCATTTCTTTTCACCTGTGATCTCTTTCCTTGTGCTGCAATTTGTGGGTAAGCTTAATACAGATAGTCCTTGACGTACGACCACAATTCAGCCCAAAATTTATGTTGTTAAGTGAGACATTTGTTAAGTGAGTTTTGCCCCATTTTATGACCTTTCTTGCCACAATTGTTAAGTGAATCACTACAATTGATAAGTTAAAAATCTGGTTGTTAAGCAAATCTGGCTTTCCCATTGACTTTGCTTGTAAGAACATCGCAAAATGACTTTGGGACACAGCAACGGTCATAAATAGGAACCAGTTGCCGATCATCTGAATTTTGTTCATGTGAATCTGGGGATGCTGCAATGGTCGTAGATGTGAAAAATTGTCGTCACGTTTTTCACATTTTTCAGTTGCTGTTGTAACTTTGAACAGTCACTAAACTGTTGTAAGTCGAGGGCTAGCTGTATATATGAGCACAATTTTTAATGTTTTATTTGCAATAATGTAAATATATATATAGCTTACAGAAAAAAGAGACATCACTAGGTAAAACCAACAGATGAGTTTATTTTTTCAATCTCATTTAAGAGAGTCAATAAAACGCAAGTTAAAAATGTTGTCAATTTTTAATTTAAGAGAAAAGAAAAGAAAAGGGAAAACTTGTTTGTAATTTCATGCATTATAAATTGTATATCAAGGATAGAGAAATGTATTTCCTGTCTCACAATATTAGATCTTAGATTCTTCCAAGAAATTACAACCAAAGGAAACCATTTTGCACATCCTGCGTAATTTATTTGTAATTTGTTTTCCTCTATTATCTTTTTGTATGCCATCATCACTTCAACTTTCATGTCATTCAATATCAATTCAAACTGTTGATAAGCACATTTAAAGGGAGCCATAGAAACTCTTCATTCCAAAATAAACATGAACAATTGTATCACAATAGCATTGTGAAAAAAGCTCAAAGTGTAAATCATTTCAATGAACCTCTGTATAAATGGCTCTGCAGTGGCTTTAGAAAAACACCGGGCAAATCTATGTCAAAGGAGACTGAACCAGCATATATCCTGATTCCCTGAATGAAGGGTAATCAACTGAAACTAAACCCAGACAAGACAGAATTGTTCCTGATTAGAATGATAGCATACTGCGTGTGCCCATTCATCCAAATCTAGACTGACTCGCATTTCTCTAAAAAGAATCAGAGGGATGGGATAAAGCAAAACAAAAAGAAATCATCACCCCAAGATATGTTGTTGCCTGAGAGGAGAGGCAATATGATGCCCACACATGTGTACACCTGCTCAGCCTCCTGGTTTTCTGAGCTGAACAGATGGCTGAATTTTTGATTACTCAATAGTGACGGGACAGCCTTCTCCATTGCAGCTTCATGGCTTGAGGGTACAAGACGATGGCTAGCTTCATATATGACTTGCTTCATATATCGTGCTAAACCCTAACCCAGTTCGTTGGTTTGGGCTGTGCCTATTCTATCTAATCCTCACTAAACAATCCATGATAACATCAGGTGCGAGTCCTGTGTCATCAGCACATAGAGCCCCGCAGCTCTCTCCTTTTCAGAATCTGCTGCTTAGAGTGGCCTCTCATTGTCTCTAATACTAAAGTCAGACCTGTTATACAGGTAGTACTCAACTTACAGCCACAACTGAGCCCAAAATTTATGCTGCTAAGTGAGAAATTTGTTAAGTGAGTTTTGCTCCATTTTACGAATTTTCTTGCCACATTTGTTAAGTGAACTAACTTGTTAACCCAAAGGTATTTTTTCAAGACTTGAGAGCTGAAGAAGCTTCTTGGATGAGAAGCAAAACGTCTTCAAAGAAAAAATAAGGAAGCAGTTGCCTCCTGAAAAAGCACCTTTGGGACAACCATGACTTGGATGATGGAGAATCTCCATACACAACTGACTTGTTAAGTTAGTCGAACAGTTGTTAAATGAATCTGGCTTCTCCTTTGACTTTGCTTGTCAGAAGCAAAGAGGATTACATGACCCAGCGACACTGCAGCCATCATAACTATGAATCAGCTGTCAAGCATCCAAATGTAAATCACATGACCACGGGGATGCTGCAACCGTCATAAGTGTAAAAATGGTCATAAGTCACTTTTTTCAGTACCATTGTAACTAAATGAACTATTGCTAAGTTGAGGATCACCTGTACTACAATAGCCAAACTTTTATTTGTTTTTACACATGAGCACATCCAACAGAGAAATTGTCACTTGTTCCACTCGCACTTACTATTGCAAATGTTCCCTTGACAACTGTGGCTATCATTCCTCCTTTAGCCAAACTTGACACCGATGCTTATTACCCACACATCTATCAAATCACCAGTTCAAGAAGTGGTTCAGAATGAAACCCTGACCTTTTGGAAGCTATACATTGAACTAATGGCTGCAGCTTATTCACCTTAGCCAGCTATAATGAGTTATGCTTTAAGCTTTGTAACGCTTATTATAAATCTAATTCCCAAAATCATTAATTGAATTGTGATCTTTCAGAACACTTACCTACTAATCAAGTAATTTAGAATGATACTTTTGCTATCAGCAAATATAATTAAAAATAGTCATCCATTCTGGGTTTTTTCTTTTCAAATACAGTATATAAGATGAGGTACAAGCTTATGCAGACCTTGGCTGCTTTTTGCATGGTCCATAAACCTTTAAGAAGGCCGAATAAGTGGGGAAAAGATCAAAATTCAAATTTATTTATTACAGCTTTGAGGTCAGATTAGAAACAAGATATTGAATAAAAGAAGTATTACACCCTTATGGTTTTGTCTGACAAGGAAATAAAGAAACAAACTTTTGGTGATCCAACAACTGGAATAGATTTTGCCTGCATAATGAAAGCTGTACTGTGCTTCAAAAATAGACATGGACAGAACCTCAAGTAACTTTGATTTTAAGGGTGTTTTGGAAATTTTTAAAAGGTGAGATGGTTGGCACCCATTTCACCTCTTAAAAGAAAATCCCAAATTCCTCTATAGCTCAATTTTGGGGGACTAACTTCGTTGAGGGATCTGTGGCTGAAATAAACTTGCTGGCATGTGCTATATGCAACATAGGCTGTAGTTTTTCATAGTTTGTGCCAAGCCAGAGCTCAAAGTTTCCACAATGGCTGGATTCAACAAGTTATCGTATTTTTTGGAGTATAAAATGCACCAGAATATAAGACGCACCTTAGTTTTGGGGGAGGAAAATAAGAAAAAAGCCGACTGGCAGGTGGATTGGCCTCCCGGAATATCCCCAATCAGCTGTTCCCAGAGGTGAATTTTAGCAACGGGTTCCTTGATTGTGAGCTCTGTACCTTGATTTTTTTGCTTTTTTTTCTGCCTCTGAAACTTCAGAAACTCCATTTCAGAAAAAAAAAAAATTTCCTGCCTCTGAAAGCCTCCGAAACAGAGCTTCAGAGAAAAAGCCTCTAAAGCTCTATTTGGGGGCTTCTTTTCTGAAGCTCTGTTTGGGCGCTTTTTTCAGCCTCTGAAACCTCTCTTTCAGAACCGGCTGGAGCTACATTCGGAGTATAAGACTGATGGGGTTTTAATTCTATTTTAATTTTAACTTATTAGTCTTAATTGTACTTTTAACTGTTAAATTATGAGATTTGGATTTAATTTTTTAACTTTTTATTAGATGTTTCTTAACTGTTGTGAGCCGCCCTGAGTCCGCTGGAGATAGGGCGGCATATAAATCCCATTAATAAATAAATAAATAAATAAGACACACCAAGATTTCCACCCTCTTTTTTGGGAGAAAAAGATGTCGAATACTCCGAAAAATACAGTAAATAATTTTTTTAAAAAAACTATTATTCAAGGTGGAGGGAACCATTTAAGAATAAAAAAACCTTCCCCCAACCTAATATGTATTTTCTATGTATGTAGAAAGTCAGCATATGCTTAAAAGGTGTGTTTTTGAACATATATGTGTGTGGGTGGGTGGCCACCTGCCCTGTCAATTCTTTTGGCCCCAAAAATGTTCCATGTGAGCTAGTATCATTTTTGATCCAAAAAAGTTGGTTTTCCCTTCAGTATAGGGTCTAGTAAATTAAAGATATTTTAATTAAAACACTTTATGCCTTGCTCTCCTATTGCTTGAAGTTTTCAAGTTAACTTGTTAACATTTCTAGACAGAATTTTTAAAACTACAGATAAATAAACAACCAAAATATATTGTACCTATTAAATAACAATATCAATTAAATTCCTAATTCAACTAGTATAATTAAATAGATCACATTGGGTAGATTAAATTCACAAAGTTGGACATGTTAGTGAAACCTTACATATGTTTAACTTTAAAAGTTTCATTCAATTCACTGGGTTTCTCCCCCAGTAATTATGCATAAGATTATGTTTAAAAATACTCTAAACATATTCCATGACATAATATAATGTTTCCTCTAGTTAGTGAGGTATCTTGACAGTTTTCTGAACAACAGGTGTTTTCTGAAACCAAATACAACTTTCTTTTCAACTCCTGATATGAAAGCAGCAGCAGCTGTACATATAATACATGGGACATGTGGCTTATAAGATATGTAGAAGAAAAGCATTCCTTCTTTGACTTGCTAAGGTAAAGCACAGATGCTGGATCAAGTTCATTGAGAGCCACCGGGGTCTCTATTTTACAATGCAGCTTAAGTCAGTAAACTTTCAGAAAATGTGTTGCAGAGCTAAAGAAAAATAATGATATAAATACACTATGCAGAATGATTCTTAATGTCACTGCACTACTATATGATACCATGTCTAATTATGTTACAAAATCAGACTTGATACTTACTACCTGGTATTTTGGTAGTAATAGTAGTAATTATTATTGGTAATAATTTTGATGTGATTGGGGTTGGCGTTGATTCAGCTACACTCTCATTCATGAGACTGTTGAAATCTTTCCTAAAAGATTTTCAAGTGATCTAGAACTGAATATTTGGAATAAATATAAGTTTAGTTAAACTGAATTTTAGACTGAGAATGTATTATATTGTAAATGGTCTTTCCATTTATATTCCTTCAAAAACATTTATAATTGAATCACTTTCTCTGGGAAGCTTTTGTTATATATTTACATTAAGTAAATTATAGTTGTCTATTGGGAAAGGTGGATTTAACTTTCTATACATTTAACTCAGTTTTTGGCTAAAATATGGACGTTCTGAATTGAACTCCTTTTTGAATTTGGTTTGATAGCTATTACTTCACCCCTTGAAATTTCAGCAAGTACTAGGCCTTTGGGAATCTAGAGGGAGTCAGTGGAAGACTTTTTGTGAAAATTAAACCTCCTTAATTAAAAATTAAAATAGAAATAAATACTTACATGAGTCTTTATATCGCCATCAAGGATCTTGCTATTCTTTATAAACTCAGCTACACTCTCATTCATGAGTCTGTCGAAAGCTTCAACATATGGTGCTAGCTCTGCGGGAAAAACGCTGAACTGAAAGAACTGGCCAAAATTTTACATTCATGGTCTTTATTTCACATTCTAAAATGAAAATCTCATACAACTGGAAAGCAGTTTGCAAACACAATTGCTGCAGAAGCAAACATAGCAAATCTATAGAATGTCCAGATTATTCTTACATGGATTTTTGGCCCTGGCCTGTGGCATCTTTTTTCATACAGAGTAACAATACTTGCTACATAGTATGGAAAAGCTACCATTAGGAAATTTTGTAAAATAGATTTAAGATGAGCTGCTTCCAATCTTTACATTCTAATACAAGAATAAGAATAATACAATTCCTTTTCTGGAACCCATATATTTAAGCCAGGGGTAGGTTCTACTTATCTTGACTACCGGTTTGCAACAGGACCACGTGCGCTCACTTGCTTTGCTCACATGCGCATGCTTCTGCGCATGCGCAGATCACCCATGATGATGTGGTGGGTGGGCGGAGCCTCCCGCCGGTTTTACTACCGGTTCTATAGAACCAGACCGAACCAGGAGCAACCCACCACTGATTTAAACCCTATCTACTTTTTAAGTAATAAAATAATTAAAGCAAGTAATAAAACATGTTCGGTTTAGTTGATTAACCTACATCTAGTTCCAAAGATTCCCCTGTAAATAATATCTACTGGTAGCTATAAATCTGACTGAAAAAGAGAATAGAAATAGTTTGCATTTAAAACCATTTTTTTTTCTTATGTAAAACAGAAGAGTTATTTGAGAACTACTCTCTTGTACTATAATTCAACATGTTTCAATATATCTATGTACTGATACACTTGATAAAGTAAATGTATAAAATGTTAAGGGAGAAGTGTCCATGTTCTAATAATCACCATATCTAGAGGTGGAATCCAAGTAAATTGTTCTAGAAGTCCTTCTGCGTTTGGAATGAGAAACGAGCAGTTCTCCAGTTCTACCCTCAACCTCTTGTACATGCTACAAATATGCAGGGTTTTTTTAAAGAAATGCAGACAATTAGTAAGTGATTGGCTCTTTAAAAGGACTGGCATTTGAAGGAGGGAGGAGCCAACTGTATAAACTGTAACATTCAAAGTCATGGAGAGAGTATGCAGTAGCAAATCTGGTGGCTAACACCGTGAATTCTTTGGAATTGGCTGAACTGACCATCCTGGCTGGTCACAGAAGCAGCATCTGAGTGGGGTAACATGCCCTGAGTCATAGCTGATATCCTGTCCAGCATCAGAGTCAGTGACTTAAATGCACTGCTATCTTGAAGCAAAGGACCAAAGGAAGAGTTCCTTCAAGTGAACTCTATACGCATCAAAGTGTGAAGGATCCCATCCCAGAGATGAAGAGAAAGCAAAGCTGGGACATTATGGAGATCCAGAGCAGTGGTGGGTTGCCCCCGGTTCGGACCGGTTCGGAAGAATTGGTAGTAAAACCGGTGGGAGGCTCCGCCCACTGACCGGACGTCATCAGGAAGCTTTTGTGCACGCACAGAAGAGCATGCGTGCGCGCTTGCTTCACTCACACACGTGGCCCCGTTGTGAACCAGTAGTAAAGGTAAGTAGAACCCACCTCTGATCCAGAGGCAAGTGTCAGGAATATGAACCATTGCTTCTGAAGGTTTCCTATTATCAGGCTAGGACCTTTGATCATTAGCAAGAAATGGAATTGGAAGGACTGTCCTGATGCCTAATGCAAGCAAAATGTGGATCTTTGGGGCTGCCCTGAATTAGTCATGGGAGAAATGTCCTGCAGATCATCACTATTAGTGAGATTCCTTTTCTGAGTCTTTCAGGGTCTCTTCTTCCGTTATCCTTCTAACCTTTGAAAATCCCAATGTGGAAATAATACGATAGGAAATTTCTGGAGGACTTGGATGGCAGCTTGAAACTACATATATATTCTTTTTAAAGTATGTGATTGATAAAGCTCTTGATAAACAGAAATGGCCATCCAAGCAGCAGTTTGCAGTTGCAGCGGATGGAGGAAATTCTCCATACACAGTCCTGCTTTTACCTTCCTTAGCCTTAGCAGAAAAAGATGTGACAAATGGCCTTAGGTATAGAAGCTATAAGGCCCTGAAGCAGAAGCGCCTATTTTCAGCAAAAATGAAGTCCAAGAAAGTATCTGTCAGCCCCACTGCGACATGGGGGCGGGGCCATGGGGTAGAGTCAAGGGTGGAGCGTGGGAGCCTTTAAAACGGTGGTGGGGAGCACTGCGCAAAAACGCTGACAATATTCACTTAGAAAATTGGTGATTGTTGGAACATGCCGGAGGGCCCGATAAAGATCTCTACAACTAGGAACCCAGTTGCCTGGAGTCTTATTTCACAGTGCCATTCCGGAACCTGACAGTATCCACAATGAAAGTCTAATAAACATAACTAACAAAAACAATACCTGGACACTCGGTACTGCCCCAGCACATGACTGGTGGTTGGTTTTCATGCCTATAGATGACACTAGGTTGGAGGAGAAGGGATGGCAAGTCAACTAGCAACTGTTACCCTGAAGCAATGCCACACTGAATTGTGTGCGGGCAACAACAGTAATTGCCCCTGAGGCTATGGCAAGGCAGAGGTAATCAGCTGATGCAGCACTTTGTCCACTGATATACTTTTCTCCTAAGTCAGAGATGGGAGGAAAGCACCTTACTGCTGACACTATAAAAAGCTTTATTTTTAATTTCTACGACCCACAAATCGAGGCACCAAAGCATGAATATTTGTTATGAAGTATTACAGTACTGTAAAGCTAAAAGAGCTGATTGCATTGTACTGTAATCTATCACTTGCAGGATCAGGATCACTGGATCAGTAGTTTAGCTGTGTTCTTTTTCCCCTAAATTATCATATAGCTATGATGTGCTTCTTGAGATGCACTATAGAAATGCAATGGAAAGAAACCCAGTGGAAAACAGTATGCAAAAAAAATGAAATACAAATAACCCTTAAACTACTTTTAGTGACCCAAGCACATTTTTAATCCAATATCAAAACTTAGTAAATTGAAAAATAATCTTGTAGAAAATAGGTATTTTTGTTTTTGCAACACAAATCTTTTCTGCTATTTTTTGTTTTACTGGACAGTAATTTGTAGCAATTGAACCACTAACGTTGAAATGTGGAAAAAAAATTAAAACATAAATAATGTGAATAATAGATGAATTACAAATCTTTTCTGTGGAACATAAAATTATGATTAAAATGAAATATTAATATTCCTCATAGGTAATTTAAAAATATGATGAAAATGGTTATCTTTTAGCTTTCTGCGAGAAAAAATATTACCACCTCATGACATTTAGTTGTTCACTTTTCAACCTACCAAATACGTTTCTGAAACAATAAAATCATACCTTCATTGACTCCATTGATGGTTCCAGAAGTTCTATGTGATTCTGATAACAATAATTCAAGCCTAATTACAGCTTTTTCCAATCTTTCTATCAAAACCACCTCTGCCATTCTGAAAAAATAAAGAGATACACATAATCCTAGCTGTTGTATGACGTGGGGATTTTAGAGAACCATTTAATTATATTTTTACACACATACACAACTCATTACTTTTACAGGTAACTCACGATGGTGAACACATTCAATACACCTTCCTCCTATTTTCCCCACAATAACAATGCTGTGAGGCAAGTTGAGAGAGTGATGGGACCAAGGTCACTATGCCAGCTTTCATGGCTAAGGCAGGACTTGAACTCATAGTCTCTTGCTTTCTAGCCTGGTGCCTTAACTACTAGACCAAATTTAGTTAATTTTCTGGATGCGAATACATCTTCCAAACACTGTAGTGCCAATAACTGGCTTCAAAATTTCATACATGATGAGGCAATCAGAACTTTGTATAGAATAGAATAGAATAGAATAGAATAGAATAGAATAGGAACCTGGAAGGGACCTTTGAGGTCTTCTAGTCCAGTCCCTTGCTCAAGCAGGAGAATCTATACAATCTCAGACAAGTGACTGTCCAGTCTCTTCTTAAAATCCACCAGTGATGGAGCGCCCACGATTTCTGAAGGCAAACTGTTCCACTGGTTAATTGTCCTCACTATTAGGAAGTTTCTCCTTAATTCCAGCTTGTTTCTCTCTTTGATCAGTTTCCAACCATTATTTCTTGTCCTGCCCTTTGGTGCTTTCGAGAATAATTTGACCCCCTCTTCTTTGTGGCAACCCCTCAAATACTGAAATACTGCTATCATGTCACCTCTAATTCTTCTTTTCTTTAGACTAGCCAGACCCAAAATCTGCAGCCGTTCTTCATATGGTTTAGTCTCCAGGCCTTGGACCATCTTAGTTGCTCTTCTCTGAACTTTTTCCAAAGTCTCAACATCTGTTTTGTAGTATGGTGACCAAAATTGATTGCAGTATTCCAGGTGTGGTCTTACTAGGGTTTTCTAAAGTGGCATTAAAATTTAAAAGTGCACTGCATGCATTGTACACATGTTAAAAGGGGGTGGGGCTAAATCACCCAGCCACGCCCCCATTCTGAAACCAGTGACCATCACTACAGACAGCCCTGCACATGGAAGTGAATAAATGTTGCCAAATTGTATCTTTTTTTCTTTTTAAATTAACATTTCACTTCGGTTAGCGTCTTAGAAGTAGAACATATAGAGAAAATATCCAGCCTTGGCTAAATTCTACAACTTAAGTTTTCACCTCGATTAAACTGTTTTTAAAATCACATGTGTTAACCATCTCGTGAATGCAACAAGGTCTGTGTGATCTCCCAACAATTTAGCTAATAACTACTGTAAATAAGGTAATTATCGCAACGTGTAATTTCTGCATTTTCTTTTCTTGTGATTTCACTGTTTACAATTAGTTTTCAAAGAAAAATAGAAGGAAGTGTCCCCAAATATGCACTGAAAGCTGGAGACACCTCAAAAGTGTTCTTTTTAGCTGCAAAATGTATTAGATATTATTTAAAATGATAGGTAAATCCTGACTTAACAACAGGAATTGAGACTGGAATTATGATAATAAATGGTTGCAGTCATAAGTCAAGGTAAGTAATCATTATCAATGGTCATTAAGTGAATGCAGCAGTTGTTACGCAAATCCATTTTCCCCTATAACCTTCTCTTATAATTTCATCAAATGCTAGAAACCCAAGGATATTTTTAAAGAAATGTCTAAAGTCCATAAGGCTTTTTCAAGTCCACAAGACATCTGTATATTCAACACATCGAGAAAGTAATTTCTTGTAACTGAATCAATCATCAACAGTAGCAAGAAACAAATAGGGTAGGCTTATAATATATCTCACAATTTGGATGGGATGGGAGTTTCTTCCTGTTAAAAAGCCTTAAGATTAAAATCTGGACATTCCTGCTTTAGAATATCAAATATTGGGTACATATATTCATATGAGGAAAGAAGGAAGGAAGGAAGATTTTTTCACATAACTTTTGATGCCGTAACAACCAGAGTATTTTTGAAAAAATAACTGATTTAAAGTTACTAAGGCAAGTGTTCTTCTAATTATCCATATAACATTTAGTGCTGCTTTTTTGAATCACCATGCACCGATGCTTATTTTTTTGTTTTATTTTCTCTTTGCCGCCAATAAAATGTAACATTTTAAGTTTTCCCTCTATCAATAGTTATGTAAAGTACAGAGGATCTCTTTTGCCATGCACTAAGATAAGCCTAATCAAATATTTTAAAGTGCTTGAAATCCAATTAATTAATGCCACAAATCCAATTACTGGAAGGAAACAAAAGTTGTTAATATCCAATAACAGCATGTATTCCAGTGTATCATTCATTCATTCATGAAATTTGTATGCCACCTGACTCTTGACAACTCTAGGAGACTGATATCATAGTTAATAGAATTTAATGAATCAAAGAAGAAGGAATGGCAAGTCCATAATGTCTACTATTCCATTCAGAATTCAAATAAATGTAAAAATGTATGTGCAAGACTATTTTGAAAGTTAATAGAAAAACTTCTTACCAGTACTTATTCCAAGTCATAATTAACTCATTTCAAATAATGAACAGAAAAAAATAGGATAAACATTATTGTTTAAAAATATGCATTGTTCACATTTCCGTGTTTCAACCAAATTTTCTGATGAAAATTACGGGTATATTTCAAACAACTTAAAATGATTAGCTTCAAAGGAACAGCAAATAATTCTGCAATTCATAGTATAGTCCTTTTCATCCTGCATACAAGCAGACTAAAATATTTTGCTTAAATGCTCCCTATTTCAGGGTTTGGTTAACCATGGCAATTGAGACTTACAATCACAATTGAGCCCAAAATTGCTGTTGTTAAGCGAGACATTTGTTAAGTGAGTTTTGCCCGATTTTACAATTTTTCTTGCCACAGTTGTTAAGTGAATCATTGCAGTTGATAAATGAGTAACCCTGGTGTTAAATGAACCTGGCTTGCCCGTTGACTTTGCTTGTCAGAAGGTCACAAAAGGGGATCATATGACCTTGGCACACAGCAACGATCATAAATATGAACCAGCTGCCAAGCATCTGAATTTTCATCACATGATTATAGGGATGCTGGAAAAGGTCGTAACTGTGAAAAATTGTCATAAGTCACATGTAACTTTGAACTGTTCTAAATCGAGGATTACCTGTATAGAGAAGAAGAATTAGGTTTTTAATAAAACCATGCAGATAACAATGATGTTATCTGCAAGCAAAAGCCAAGCTCAGAGAACACCAAGGACTCTACACAGATAATTCCATTGAAAAATAAATGATTCTATTCTACATACTAGTAAGAGAGATAAAGCAGTTCTTGAGGCAAGTGAAACTCCTGGTGGCTTCACAGATACACTCATGCACTTTTCTTAATAATGGCACAATCCTACTTTTTATCTTTGGAAATTGAACTCTATTAAAATTATTGAAGCACAGAATGGTACTGTTTTATTATTATTTGTTATTGTTAGTCGTGAAGTCGTGTCTGACCCATCGCGACCCCATGGATGACGTTCCTCCAGGCCTTCCTGTCCTCTACCATCCCCTGGAATCCATTTAAGCTCATGCCGACTGCTTCAGTGACTCCATCCAGCCAAAGTATTTGAGTTTCATCTTCAGGATCTGACCTTCTAAAGAGCAGTCAGGATTGATTTCCTCTAGGACTGACTTGTTTGTTCGCCTTGCAGTCCAAGGGACTCGCAGGAGTCTTCTCCAGCACCATAGTTCAAAGGCCTCAATTCTTTGGCACTCAGCCATTCCTTATGGTCCAACTTTCACAGCCATACATTGCAACTGGGAAAACCATAGCCTTAACTGTTGGCAGGATTAATGTCACACAATTTTGTTGGCAGGGTGATGTCTCTGCTTTTTAGTACACTGTCTAGATTTCCCATAGCTTTCCTCCCCAGGAAAGCTGTTTTATTATATTAGCTCTCAAATACAGCACACAGTCCAGATGTAAACTAGTTTATCCTTATTTGGAAATAATTGTCATTGCAAATTGCTAACCTAGTTTTACATCTCAATATACTCTATACTCATAGGACTGGGCTGCTTTTTCATTCTGGAATGAGCTACTTTCTAAACATTTAACGCTAACCCACATCAGGCTAAATTCCATGGAAGCATCCCCTCTCAATTTTATGACTCTGAATCCCAAGGGCTCTTTTTTTTATATATGCATCCTTTTGGAGTGATTCATAGCATACCAAAAGTCTTAGGTTGTTGTTCTTAAAAAGAGAGAGATCACAAAAGCAGGAATAGGCAGGTGCTGGTCATACAAAATGTATATATATAGAGACACACATAGCTCATCTGGAAACAAGCATTTAAAAAACAAAACAAAAAGAATTGTTCATGAAAGCACTAATCATAACAAAATGATTAGGCCTCCTTTCTTTTTTTCCTGATGACCCAGAGGAGGGGGGCCGATCAGTTTTCACCCATGGTTGCGTTCTCTAAACAGGGGGCTTCTCGCGATGCCGCCAACTCAAAAGGAGATGACATCCCAGCAGGTGAAAAGTACCTTCCCTGCAGGTAGATAGAGGCTGCCGGTTCAGTATGTCACACAGCGGGCGCTGGGCCGCATTGGTGCCGTGGCGGAGCCCGCACCGAATTTTCACCCCCTCCCCCAAAACCCATTCCGGAAAGGGGACGTCCGCCCAGACACCTGCAGCAGACCTGCCCGCTCTTGGCACAGGCGGCCCCTGCCTCAAATGGGCGGGGAGAGGCAGGCAGGCAGGGAATGCAGCAGCAGGAAGGGCGACCCAGATTGCTTTTCTAGACCGCAGACGCCCCAAGTCTACAGTCCAGTCCATCCTGGCCAAGCGCAGCCGGGTCTCCAGCACCTCATGCAGAGGCGCGCGCGCGCGCACACACACACATTCACACTCAAACTCGCGCGCGCACACAGCCGCGCTCGCCTCTCCGGGAAAGGCCCCTCAGCACAGTTGTCGCCCGTTGCCAAGCCCCCCTCTTACATCTACCGCCTGGCCATAATGCATCCTTCCAACCACCCACCCACCCACCCACCACCCCAATGCCCGGCCTTGCCCCAAAGGCTCGAGCTGCTTCGCCCGTCCCGCCGCCGGCTGCTCTTGCATTACCTGTTTTGATGAGCCGCGGCGCGTCTTTCTCCGCTTTCCACACAACGAAAATCCGTAGGCGCTTCCCCCCTCCCTCCCTCCCCCTCCTCAGTATGAAGCGGTACCACTCACAAAAAAAGAAGCCCAAAACGGGGGAGGGCGTGGGGGGGGGGGTTTGCTGCAGCCCGGGGAGTTCCCGGCAGCGCCAAATAAAGCCAAGTCCAGCGGGAGAGCGCGAAGAGGGTGGCGGCGGCGGAGGAGGAGGAGGGAGGGGAAAAAAGCACGAGGAGGTGGGGTGTGTGGAAATGCACCGAGCGGGAGGCGTGTGCGTGACAGGTTTCCCGGCGGCGGCGGCGGCTTTGCTAAGACACTAAAAGGAACTGGGTGGGAAGGAGGAAGCCCCTTAGGCCAAGGCCTCAGGGAAAGGCCTCGTCAGGGAAGAGTCTGAACTGGTAAGGGAGAGCAGGTGCTGGGGAAGTCATGGTGGCTTCATGAAAGGAGGGGAAGAAGTTTGCCACCCTTCCTTCCAGTCTCTGTCTTCTTGCTCTGTGAGGTCCCATAGGACCTGCTGACCGCCTCCCTATTCCCAGGCAATGCCAGATTAAAAGTGCCACAAAGGGGAAGGTGGCGTGCTGCCTTGTGCAGTTAAAGCTGTTATACTCAGTCATTCTTTAGGAGACGGCCTTGGAGCAGCCTTTCCAAGTGAATTTATAAATAAGAATGTGATGGGTGCAACTTTCATGGAAACTATGCTGGTTAGAAATGGGGGGGCTACTGCACTCCACATCTGGAGAGTGCCAGCATTGGGAAGGCTGCTGTGGTGTTATCCGTGGCCATAAGGGATGTGCATCACAGTTTCCTTGAAACTTGCACAGGGTTTTTATCAATCAGTTCCTTTTTTCTGAATCCATCACTCTTAACGAATGACAGGTCAATATTAACATTTGAAGGAAAGGGTTAAAAGCACATACTATAATGACAGAGTAGACATACATGTTAACTGGAAAGTAGGCACATTGATAGAAAATAATGTGTCTATATTATACTTCCTATTTTTAATGAAAGCAAATTTTAAAATAATTTCAGATTAGAAGCATAAAACCTAGGGCAGGCCTGCTAGAAGAAACATAACATATATTTATAAATACATGCAATGTGAGGATGCCCTAAGAGAGACTTAAAAATAGAAAACATTGAATGTTAATTGTGGTCACACAGTGTCACATCTACTTTACTCTTACTTATTTATTTAGGATAATTATATCCTTCACTTCCTTTCTCAGAAGAGATACTCACAGCAGTTAGTGTTTTTCAATAAATAAAAAAGCATTCCCTTGCTTCAAACACTGTTTATAGCTCAGGTGGAATTTCTGTTCCCTTAGAAAAGAGCCTTTGACAGCTAAGCTGCATCTATAAAAGTAGTTCCCACTGTGGGAGGGAGAGTTATGGAATGTATCTAAATCTGGAATACCAGAGCACAAAATGTCTCAGTTCCAGAAATCTGCAAACTATGAAATGGCACTAAATGCAGGATTGTTACAGATGGTGACTATATTGCACCACTGTACTGGTACTAATTCATCTTAAAGAGGAATGATAATCTACTAATAGTAATATAGACAACTAGAACAATTAATCAGTGGAACGACTTGCCTCCAGAAGTTGTGGGTGCTCCAACACTGGAGATTTTTAAGAAGAGATTGTATAACTATTTATCTGAACTGATATAGGGTTTCCTACTTGAGCAGGGGGTTGGATCATTAGAGGATCTCCAAGGTCCCTTCCAATTCAGTTATTCTGTTTAATCCCCCCAAATGAAGACGGTACAGTTAAAAGCCTAAGGAATGTCCCTACAGTGGAGCAAATACATTCCTACATGTGTGTGTGATCAAAGATTTATTTACAAGTAGGTTGACTTGTTATTTCTGCGGTACCACACACTTGCTGAAGTGTGAAAAAAGTATATTCCTGTCTTTCATCCCACCACAAATATCTCGAAATCTTAATACCAACACTCAACTCAGTTGAAGACTGAAATTTGAAGCTACCTGAATTGGAAACTGACAATGAATCTGAGCGAAGCATTAACATTTTGCCATTGTATGGAAGACTTAGAGAGTCAAAGGGGTGAGGGAGGGGACATCGAGAGGGAGGGTTCATGGTGTGAATTTTCTGACCTTAATATATCTATATAATGCCAAGATGTTGCTGTGGTTTGGGAGCTAGTTTGAACCATATCTGAAAGTTCATCTCAATTTCTGTATTTGTTTTTAGAATTCAAAATTTTTGTGGGTTCTACTATTAGTCTAGAACAAAAGTTGGCAAATTCTTTTTGTAAAGGGCCAGATCCTTCCCTTTCTTGCCTCTTTCTGTGCTGCTGGCAGGACAGCAGGCCAAACAGTCTGGCAGGCATTAGATAGCACCAACTCTCCAGTAAGGAGGCTGTAGATATACTGCTGCTACAGCCCAGGATCCTCAGCCCCAGCCCAATCCTGTCCTGGGACCTCAGCTGAGACTCCAGCCTGGCAATTTATCCATTCTTACCTTGTGGGCTGTATAATAACAGGTGGGCTGGATTTGGTCCACAGGTTTGTAGTTTGCTGACCCCTGGAATAGATAATCTGAACAATGCCCTTTAAAAACTTACAGAGGGAGAATTGATAGTCTTAATTTATGATATATGAGCCTCAGGAAAAAATGAGAAAATCTTGGCTAAAGAACTCCAAAGAATCAACTGTACAGAACTACTCATTCTTTTGCAACATTACACCCGAGATGATGATATGAGCAACATGATCTGCTCTCCTTTAAGTAGTCTGAGCTGGTACTGGAAAGGGGAGGCTTTGGCTGTGGAAGAAACTCTATGGTGCTTATGCTGACCAAGAATATTGGTAAGAGCAGGGATCTGTATATTCACCCTGCATAACAAGTAAATAAACTTTATATTATAGAGGCATAATTTCAATAACTTCCTTCCAAGGAACTAGAAATCCAATAAAAACTGGATTCCCTGAAACTTTCCATTGCTCCAAAATGAAATGCAGTTTCTCACTGTGTTCATTGGTAGTGTCAAGCACCAGGATCCAGACAGTTCACAAGATTTATTGCAGGTTTAAGCTCTCTACAAAAATCTGAACTACTAACAGGCCAAGGGGAAATTAGCAGGAGATAAGAATAGAAAGAATTCAAGCTGAGCTAGATTTAGATCTCTTGTGGGCCCAAAGAGACTCATTACTGATGATGCGTTTGACGCCTCCCTCAGCCTCAGCCTGCTTATCCCCTACATCGAGGGTGTGCCCACAATAGTATCTGGAAGGTGCCAAATTGTGGAACTATGTTTTAAAATATTACGGTAGGTTCTTTTCCTTTCAGTCAAAAGAATTCTAAAGTGGGGTGTGGGTGTGGGTGTGTGGGGTGTAATTAGAATTTCTCCTAATCCTAATTCGTGCCCTTCTTTACTTCAGATTAATTAAAACCATAAAATGTGGTTACAAGAAATACAAGAACAGAACAAATTTTAAAATAGACTTAAAAATAAATAACCCTGCATATTCTCCATGAAAATATATTTAAAAAGATAATACTGCAGGTGGTTGTTGTGAGTTGCATCCCATTTTACAACCTTTTTGCCACAGTTGTTAAGCGAATCCATGCAGTTATTAAGTGAATCATGCAGTCATTAAGGAAATCTGGCTTCCTCCATTGACTTTGTTTGCCGGAAACCAGCTGGGAAGGTTACAGATGGTGATCATATGATCCTGGGACATTGCAGCTGTCATAAATACATTCCAGTTGTCAAGCTCCTGCATTATGATCACGAGACCATGGGGATGCTACAAGAGTGGTAAGTGTGAAAACTGGTCATAAGTAACTTCTTTTCTGTACCGTTATAACTTCAAACTGTCACTAAGCGATTGCTTATAAGTGGAGGACTACCTGTATGTCTACTTGTGTGTATGAGATGTTTGGCTCCACTCAATTTGCATCAGCACTCCAGCCACTGTAACAACCACCACAAAAACTAAGAGTGGTCTTTTGACCTTCCAAAGCTTGCCCTGCAAAATAAGTTTCAAGACCTTTCCTACTTCTGAATCACAGCTTCCTGAAACTGTGCAAATTGCTTGGCAATGATGAAGAAATGATTTGTCATTGCCTTTTTTCAGGGATGTTTTTCAATTCAGATAAAAATTGTAAAATAAAGATGATCATAAGGCCTCTGGGATGTGAAATGCTACTATTCTCATCCTTAAGGCTCATCCTAGTATCCCAGAACCACCCCAAATGATCCAGAAGTTGTGGACTACTCTCTTAATGATACCTTATCATTGCTGTAAGGTTTCCGTAGCTCAGTGCCTGGTTTGGGTATGTTTAAAGAACACCTGTCCTCAAGAGAGTAGAATATGTAAGTTTGGGATCAGTGTAAGAAGTTACTCTCTCTCTCATGCCTGACAAATAAGCTTCTGGAATTGGCTGATCACTAAGAAGGTCTTTTCCATTGACCTTAGATCCCAAACATGTTCCTATTAACTTAGGCAGTCTTTCAGATAGTCAAGTGTAAGCTTTAAAGAGGAAACTATTGGCAGCCTTCCAAACTGCCTCTACGGGGTGCATTGCTTTGGAAGGAGGGATGGTTATTTTAATGTTAATAATTATTTGTATTGAAAATGATACAACATTTTCATGATGCAACATTAAAAATGATACCCATAAACACTGGAATCAGTGAAAATTAAATTAAATTAAATTAAAACTCACTACCAATTAAAACATTTAAAATTTCTTCTTAAGCCAGCCCGGCTTGCTTAAAAAATGGGTTTTAAGGGCACGACGAAAGGCGCTGAGGTCTTGGATTCTCCTTATCTCTGTGGGCAGCTGATTCCAGAGGGTAGGTGCCCCCACAGAGAAGGCCCTCCCCCTGGGGGTCACCAGCCTGCACTGTTTGGCTGATGGCACCCCGAGGAGGCCCTCTCTGTGGGAGCGCACAGGTCAATGGGAGGTCGTCGGTAGCAGCAGGCGGTCTCGAAGATAGCTAGGCCCTATGCCATGGAGCGCTTTAAAGGTGATAACCAACACCTTGAAGCGCACCCGGAAGACCACCGGGAACCAGTGCAGCTTGCGCAGGAGCGGTGTTACATGGGAGCACCATGCTGCTCCCGTCACTACCCGCGCTGCTGCATTCTGGACCAGCTGGAGCCTCCTGGTGCTCCTCAAGGGGAGTCCCATGTAGAGAGCGTTGCAGTAGTCAAGACGAGAGGTGACGAGGGCGTGAGTGACTGTGGACAGGAAATCCCGATCAAGAAAGGGCCGCAACTGGCGAATCAGGCAAACCTGACAAAAGGTCCCCCTGGTTACAGCCGTCAGATGTTCCTTGATCTGTCCCCGTCCACACACACACACACAAACACAGCCAGCCGAGGGTTAAGGAAACACTTTGGAACGCACCCAGTTTCTTTATCTCCAACTTGGCAGCGATAGACACACCGTCTGCCAAGTGCCTTTATTTTCACAGAAAAACAGAAAGACAAATATTCAGCTTCCAAATGTCCGACAACAATAAATCTTTCTCTCCGCAGTTCCGAACGAGGCTTTAGTGACTATCCAAGGTTAGTTTTGTTCGTCACAAGGATCACTGACCACCACCCTCTATTATTTGGTCTCTGGGGTGTGGTCCAGTGACTCAGTTCTAATCCCTAGCACACCTCCTGAGCTGCTGCAATCGTTTATCACGCCTTTGGAGGCGTGCGTCCAGGAATGATGTTTCTCCGTCACTCTGATCTGAGCCACCTGTCTCCCTGCTAATCTCCTCTCCCTCGACCAGCACCTGAGACAGTGCCAGAGGGGAGGGGCCTGGAGAGGGAGGCCTGGCTGACTCCTCTTCCTCATGCTCGGAGCTTTCTGCCTCCGATGGGACAGGCTCAGAGGGTGGGGCCACAACATTCCTCCAAGGACAGCTGCATATCCAGGAGGACGCCCAGATTGCGAGCCCTTTCAGTGGGGGCCAAAGACTCGCCCCCAACAGTCAGTGATGGAGTCAACTGACTATATCGGGATGCCGGGAGCCACAGCCACTCAGTCTTGGAAGGGTTGAGCTTGAGCCTGTTCCTCCCCATCCAGATCCGCACAGCCTCCAGGCACTGGGACATCACTTCAAGGGCATCGTTGGGGTGGCCTGGGGTGGAGATGTACAGCTGGGTGTCATCAGCATACTGGTGGTATCTCACCCCAAAGCCATATTGATGATTTGTTATAAATTTTTATCAGTTGAATGAAAATTAAACATATTATTTCAGTGCAAAGTCTCTTTTGAATAATGCTTGATTTGTGATAATGTCATGGACACATACATGGGTTTAGGGCATGTGGGGGAGGGGCAGATTTGAAACAGTTTTATTCTTTACTTTTCAGCAATACTGGGTATTTCTTAATGGTCTCCTATCCAGGAGTTAACCACTTCCAGTACTGCTTAATTTTCCAGGATCAGCTAAGCTTGATAAAGCGCTGCCACCAAGCCATACATTTTAAGACTGCCTTTTCTTATGAAATCCACTGGACGCTCTTTTGTGTTACTCTTTTCAGAGGATATATCCCTCAGTTACAGGTGGTCCTTGATGTTCAACAGTTCATTTAATGAACATTCAAAGTTACAATGGCACTGAAAAAAAGTTACTTACGACCATATTTTCACATTTATGACTGTTGCAGTATCCCCATGGTCATCTGATTTACATTTGGATCAGGGGTGGGTTCTACTTACCTTTACTACTGGTTCGCAATGGGGCCGCGTGTGCGGTCACTTCGCTTACGCATGTGCTCTTCCGCGCATGTGCAGAAGCGTTCTGATTACGTCAGGGTCGGTCGGCGGAGACTCCCTCCGGTTTTACTACAGGTTCTGTAGAACCGGTCCGAACCAGGAGCAACTCACCACTGATTTGGATGTTTGACAACTAATTTACATTTATGGCGGTTGCGGTGTCCCGGAGTCGTGTTATCCCTTTTGGTGACCTTCTGACGAGCGAAGTCAATGGGGAAAACAGATTCACTTAACAACTGTGTTACTAATTTAAGAACTGCAGTGAGTCACTTAACAAATAATGGCAATAAAAGTCATAAAATGGGGCAAATCTCACTTAACAAATTTCTCACTTAGCAACATAAATTTTGGCCTCAATTATGGTCTTAAGTTGAGAACTACCTGAATAGTTTTCTGGGGATGAAATTAGATTGCTCTTGAAATTAATACAGGTACAGTAGACCTCAATTTACGACGGATCATTTAATGATCGTTAGAAGTTACAATGGCCTCAGAAAGTGTGTCTTATGGTCCTTTAACTTTTTGGCCCATAAAACACTTCCAGCCGTTGTAAAATATCATACTCCTCTCTGCGGTCATATTACTACATTTTAGTACTTAGTAATCTGCTCACATGTAGGACCAGTTGCGGCATCCTATGAACACATGACCACAATTTGTGACATTTTTGCCAGTTTCCAGTCCCAGTTGTAGGATAAATTGAGGACCACCTGTAGCATTATATTCAATTGTCACTATCCAGCTACAACATCCCTTCTACGGATTTTTTGTGTATGATTTCTATGATTTCACGTTTTCCTTCAGTAGGCTGAAGGCTACATTTATTTATGGATAAAAGGGACTGGACTAATTTTTTCCAATGGAAGGCGACCTCTGCTAATCCTTCTGAACCCCAATACTGCCCCTTGTCTGCCTTCAAATCTAACTTCAGTGGGAGGGTGCCATGTTACCATGCTAGAAACACTGCAAAATGAATAGGAAGCCTACTAATTGTTGTTTCCCCTGCATTCTTTCTAGGCAGTTTTCCTGCATTTCCTACAGATAGAGTACACATTTTGTAGCATTTAAATAATACAAACTTTCTATGAGTCCTCCAATCTAGGAAAATACATTCCTGAAGTGTATCTGCCCTTCAATCAGATAGCTAAATTGTGTTATAATTTCTGTGTCAAATATACTAGATGATCTCATTTTAAAATATAAGGTGCTATGTCATAGTATTTTGTTTCTTTAAACATGGCTGACTTAGTTTTCCACATGACATTTCTTATTAATAGAATCCTGCATGTAGCATTTGATAGTTACACAACACTGCAAGTTCGTGTAGAAGGTATGTGGTTTTGCTTTATTAACACAATTATACATAAAAAGCAATTGTCAACCTGGTCTTCATTATGAAGGGAATGTTCAATTCAATTCATTTTGGGTACTTTTAAGTACATGTCCATATAGTTTCTTGGAAGCAATATGGAAATCCTATTTCCTTCCTCCAGGATTTTTTTTTTTTTTACTTTCCAGTTTATACTTCTGCTCTGGTATTTTTTTGCTAGTCTCCCATCCAAGTACTAGCAAGGTTTGACCCTGCTTAGCTTTAAGATCATTCAAGGTTAGTAATACACACTCTGGAACTTTGGGAAAACTTGGTGTGATCCAACAAATCCTTTAAGGGTAAGGTTACATTCATGTCATTTAATTATTGCTTTCTATTTTTGTAAAGGTCTGTCAATGAGTATAAGTACAATTAGAAAAGGTTTCAAAAGAGGTAAAAACAACTTGTCAGTCAGGCTTTGGATTCTGGGACTGTCCTCTCTTTTTTTTTTTTGGCTGCTGTAAGCCACAATGATTGGGTAATTGGCATTATGAGATCATGGAGGGTGTGGCTTGAAATTTCAACCTTCTCTGGGTTCCCCCCCCCCGAACATTTTTAACTTTGGAATCTGTTAATTTTAAGAATTGTTAGTTTTATTTAAATTTTGGAGTTTTATTATTCAGTTGTAAAATCACTTTTAGCTTTTCTGGGAGAAGCAGCAAGTACAGTATACCTTATAACAGCACACCTTATTATACAGTAATAATCATGAACGGAGACATTATTTTAGATCCCTAAATATATAATTAAAGAAAAATGAAACATATTTCAAACAACTCTTAAGAATACTTTTAGCAAATCAGCTCCCAGTGTTTTCCCCGTTTCCTAAATTCCATCTCAACCCTGAAAAGCCTTCAAGTTTCAGTGAAGGATAGATAATAACTATGATGCATAATTACATTGAGGTAATTTTTTTTGTGATGAAACTCTGCATAATAAAAAAATTACACCTAGATATACATAGCATTTTTTACCTCTTTTGGTACTGTAGCACAACGGAGGTAATCTTGGAATGTGGGATCAAATGGATACACATAGATCTGTGACCATTTATTTAGGACAGCGATCTCCAATCTCCAACCAATAGCAGCGGGAGGGAGGGAATAGGGGATGGTTTCACATGGGCATGCCACTTTCAGAAATGCAGCATCACACAGGCTCGCCCACCACTTCCACAGCTGGTTCCGAATGGGCTGCAGCCCAGCATGGGCCAGTGGTTGGGGATCCCTGATTTAGAAAATATTTAATTTCTGTCTGCCCCAATAAGACACTCAGAATAGTGTGCATATTATTTCAGTGGTGGTGCTTTTGAAAATGCAAAGACAAAACAAATCTATTTTCTTTCTGAACGAGAACAGTGTTTTTTTATGGATTTATAGGCCCGATTCCAATTTTTAGAGGAATGGCATACTGATGTTCCATAACTTAATTATGCATTGCATGTAATAGCACTTGTTTAAAATTTAATTTGACAGCACTGCATAAATAAAGGCAAAGCAAGTAACATTTCATTTGTCTCCATCAACCTTTTTAAAACCATGAACCAGCTGTTTATTCAATAGAGGAATTCTGAAATGCATTTTAAGATGTCTTGATGCATTAAGAAACTTATTTTGTGTACAACTGTAAAAAGTTTGGATTCAATGACATTTTTATTATTTTAATACAAGTGTATAGATTAGAAGATCTGAAACATTATAAAGCAATATACATAATAAATAACATGCACAGTAGTCATGTTATATATCTTATATAACACTGGCTAGTATTCAAAATAAATCCAGTGACATTGGAGAAATCCATAAAAATGCTATCCTGTCTTCCCTTTTATGAAATTGTTCAAGTATAAAAAGATTCCAATACAGTCTAAAATATTAAATTTCTTTTTAGGTCAAGAATAAAAATTACAAATTATTGCAGTTTCACAGGACAAATGAAAGCAGCATTTCCTAGCTAAGGAATAATAGTTGATCTATATAGAGATGAAACTGAAAAATGACCCCTTTTCATAGCAGAAAACACCAATAACCCACTCTAAAGACATGATAGGTATTCCTTTATGGTGTTTGCACATACTGTGTTTAAGATTGGGGCTTCAGACTTTATCATTAATATACCTGGTTGAGGAAAAAGTCCCATCAAGATCAGTGGGATTTAAGATTCAACTCTGGATTACTGTTATGGTACTGGAGCTATTTATCTGCAACTCAGTCATCACATGGGCAACCAAAAGTGTCTTTACAGGAAATTGACTGGTTGGACAAATACCATGCTTTCCCCATATTGTTCAGCCAATTCACATGGTCTCCCTATGCAGACGTTATTATGTGTGTGACCAATGATATAAATATAGCTCCTATTATACACCACGGTAATTTTTAAATTGAGTCTTACTCCTCAATTGGTATGTGTAGTATTTTAATATCTTTCAGAGTAAGTAAGATTTACTGAAAACCAGTAAAGTTTTCATCCAAGAAAACAGGTATTCAGTCAGTGAAACAGTGGGAAAATCATGAAACTAGCATTTTAAAGATCAAAATCTTTCCAAAAGTTTTAAAATACCCTTACAAAGGTATGTTTATTGAAGACAATAAACCTATGTCAGCATCTTTAATTGCTTAGATTATTATTTTATATTGTACTCCTAAACCTGCTAAATAACTTACACTATGAGATGAATACAATATTTTACAGTTTCACATCTAAAGTGGGTTTCTTTAGAATGCAGCATCGTACAACTTTCAAAATAAATATATCTTTAAATAGCATTACAATTAAGGCACAATATAGCTCACATAGAATTAACCTTTGAAGAATTGCAGTCTCAACAAGTAGCCGCATGGAAGAGGCCTATGTTTTGCAAATAAATATTTAAATAGGAATTAACTTGTATACAATTCATTTCAAAAAGCATTCCCTAGTACAGTTCTTAAATATTTAAATTCAGCAAATTTCTTCCTGCCTTTATTCACAAGCCATGAATAGATACAGTAAATAAAAGGAGAAAGCTGTTGTAGGAGAGAGCTGATCCTGTTTTAGAATCAGAATAGCTGACTCTAGCAGTCAAAATTTCCCTAAAAGTGAAACAGGATGGGGAGAGGGATTAGAATGTGACAACCTCATCAAATGAGAACAAGTGATGTGTTCTTTCCAGAACGGGCTGTGTCATTGATTGTCTGTACAGCTGTTACACCCTTTAATTCCACACCACTTGCTCCATAGTCCCATTCATAGGGAGGACAGATGAGAAAATAACTTTGATGCTATCTACCCTTCCCCCACCTCCCAAGGGCTATCTTCCTTAGTTTGTTCGATGCCCAATATGAGATTCAACAAAAAAATATTTTTCTACTCATTCACACAAAATAGGCCATACTGAAAAGTTGTAATGACAGCCAGCACTTTCAATATTTAAGTAATATTCCACTTGATAGTTATGTATTGCTCACCTGAACTTTTTACCCTGGATACTGTAAAATGCACCTTATTTTTAAAAAATCAGCTTTTCTTTTCTTTTCTTTTCTTTTTTTTTTGGTTACTTTAGCTATGCTTTCATGATAAGATGATGCTTAGAAATTCTTACAATACCTTATCCCACAATATTATTCATTCTATGGGAGGCATAATGCTTTAAAAGACAGTGGTATTTGTTCTTATACTATTCTATTGCATTGTAGCGTTGTTGTTTTTTTAAAGCTGGATAACTTAAAAGTTAATTATTTCTACTGGAAGGCTTGAAGGTAAATTGATAGGAATAATAACAAAGGATGCTTTCTTGCCATGTCCATCTGCTATTGCATACGATCTGTTTGCAGTTGCTGTGGCTGGTATTGGCTGAAAGCAGCTGCTGCAGCTGCAGCTGTTCCAGGCGCTGCTGCAGTGATAGGTTGCTGGACTGCATAGCCATATCCCCCAGCAGTGACATATCCTGCAGCAGCTGGTGAAGCTGCATAGGGATACTGGTCATAGGCTGCAGCTGCTGCAGCAGCCGCTGCCGCAGAATACTGAGCATATGCAGCTCCCGTGTAGTCAAGGTAGGGTGAGGTGGAAGCAGCAGCTGTAGGTTGGACATGTGGAATAACCACTCCAGGTTGCACAAACGCCTGCGGATATACGTAATGAGCAGGGATCCTGTTGAAAAACAGAAGATAAAGTTAGATCACTGGGAAACCTCACTCCCCGGTTCAGAACTAAAAACCAAACTCAAATTTAGTTGTTGTTATATGCATAGGGTTGCCACAATAACTAATTTCAGCGATCATCTTACAAGCTAAAAAAGAAACACAATGATGAAAATGTATTTTTTTAAAAAAAAAATAGCGTCACAGTGTTAGTGCCAACTTAACAACACTGATCAGAATTGCTATAAAAGCACACTACTAATTTTAAAATACTGATAATCTTAAAATGTATATTTGTTGAAAGAAAAATTAAAGGATCCTGGTTTGGGGCTGTAAGACACGGGGTGCATAGCCACAGAGAAGTGACCAGTTTTCCCCCTAAGAATTGTAATATACTGAGAGTTTATATGACTCTTTCCTTAGAATATATATTTTGGTAACCTACATGTTTAGTTCCACGGTCCAATACTGACAGGACTTCTTGTTTCATTGCATTACCCACATTATTCAAATGTATTTGATGTAGGGTAATAAATGTTTTGTATTGTGGCAATCCTACTTGAATTGCTATGCACACATTAATTCCTCTGCAACTTCAGTCATCCTTATTAAAAAACAATAAATAAAAAAAAACCACAGGCGACAAAAGGAGTTTAAATAGAAGTTCACAGGTGTGGTAAACACAGCAAGAATCACACTTGTCAAACGAACTATAGTGCAATTCACTCCGTCACAAAAGGCTATTGAGGGGAAGCTACATAGATGCCATTAAAATACATGACAGTGACCTCTGGGTAGATGTGGGTAGATGTGCATCACACTTCTGAAGAGGTTGTAAGGCCATGAAAGTCAAACCTGTTATGACATATCAGGCCACGGAATCCTGTGCCAGCTTCCTTATTTCTATATAAGGCATAGCTTTGGAAGGAAATAGGGAGAGCTGGGGTAGAATTATGTTCAGGTAGATCTAGTGTTTAATAAAAAAAAAAAAAAGGAGAAACATATTTTGAGGAACAACCTTGCTGTTATTACATACATACTTCAATATTCTCCTTACTATTAAACATTACCTTTTTTAAAAAAAAAAAATACCGTTAGAAGCACAAGCAGGCCACTGTTGATATTTGTAATAAAGCTCTCATATGTATAGATAACAATACTTCTGCGGTGCTTTCAACACCCAAAAGCTTCATGTATTATCTCAGGATTACTTACAAATGGCTTGGTAATGGAGACCATGGTAATTATGCATAGAAGGGTGAAGCTGAAAAATAATGGTTTGCCGAAAAATCTCTAAATAAATTTGCATGGCTTAAAATAAGCTCTGCTTGTTGCTACAGCTAGACAAGTTGCTAATTCCCCATCTATATGTATATGGATTGCTCCCTTGTATCTTATCTATCCAATCTATTACTCCTGTATCTTATGTATCCAACCTTTGGAATAAACAGAATCTTGTCCAAAGTTTTAACTTGCAACTAAAACTTTATCAGGAAATAAAACTTTTTCTCCTGCATAATTCTGATAAGATCCAGGGAACGCGCGCGCACACACACACAAAGCTTCAGATGCAGAATTAAAGCTTTCAGCTTCTCATGCAATGTTGTAAGTTTCCTTTCTCTCTATTGCACAGATTACGTCCGCTTGATCATCCTATTATAACCAAATTAATACAGCTGCGTTGAAATAAAAATTATTTTCAATGTTCATATGATGTTGCCAAGCAAAAATTGTTTTTAATTATATAGTACTTCTGCATTGGAAAGTAGTTTTTTGGACTTAAAATCCATACAGCTTTGCTTTGAAACTAATCATTCTCCCTTCAATGCCTACAACTCAATATTAAAGATTTAACTACGGTAACAAAAATGCATCGTTAGTTTCCTACTGTCCTGGATAGGGAAAAAGCAACACATTAGGGACGTATATAAGAAGAGGTTGTTGAACAGAATAATGACAGTCACTTAAGAATTTTTTAAAAATACAGCAAAAACTATTCATCTCTTATATTGAGTATTCTGTAAAGAAATCTGTGGTATTAAAGTCAATAATAGCTTTGTTTTTATATGGTTTTAAATAGATATAAACCATACATATAGTAATTTGATCATAATGCTAATTTAAAAACAGATCAATTGCCAAGGATCATTTCTATCATGCTTAAGATGATCTTTAAAAGACACATGCAGATCACTTTATAATAGTTAAGTCATAGCTCTGTTCCGACAGAAGCATCATCAGCATGGATTTTAAATTTGTTTCCTTGTTAGAATATCATGATGAATATATGTATTCAAGCTCTTGTAATTTGTTTCAATTAAGTCAAGAAACTAACAGGTGGGAGAATTATGAAACTTTACCCCTTTAGAACTTTGTAGCCTACAATATGCATGCACTCTGTTCAGGCGCCCACTGTTATGGCATATCTCACATGATTGACAGCACAAGCTGCAGTGGGTCTATTTTTGATCATCTGTCATGCGACAAGAGCTTCCAGCTGAGTAAAATGGCTTTATAAGGCCAAAGTAAACGTCCATCTGTTGGAAACGCCAGCATGCAGAGATTGTCATGATACTAAAATGCTAGCTCCTTTTATGTTCTTCAAGGTCAAAAGGTTAAAGAGCAGCTTCTCATTAGGTTGTTCAGGCATCTTTGTACAATAGATTGAAAAATGTTCTTCTGAACTTACTTTTGGGAGAAACACTGGATTCTGCACCTTTTTCCAGATTTTTCAAAGGTAGTTTTCTTTGGTACATTAGAAATAGACACTGAAACTCATCGGTTTTCCTTCAAGATTACTATAAATGCACACTTATATGCCAGTAACCCTACTGAACAGAATGTTTCCTTACTGCTATCAAGCAATAACAAAAATAAGATTTTTGATTTAAATTGTATATATTGTGCTGGGTCCTCATGGTATTACATTGCATTTGATCCCCAACAAATATCTGAGGAGGCCTTAATTCATCTTTAGATGTACTGGAATTAAAACCGTATTTTCCCTCATACCCTAAAAAGACCTATCACAGATACAGCTACAGGCATTTCACTATCCAAGGTGATCCAAGAGAGTAGGGTAAACTCACCATGTATCAGCAATTGAAGCTGGTATGGGCAGGCCATTCTGTCTTCTAGGGCCAATTTTTCTAGGAAATAGGCTACCCCATTTTTTTTTCAAACCGGGATCTCCCCAGATCAGAGTCCTGGATTAGTCTGAATAACAGCTGACCGACAGTAGTGGTGGAGCAGCTGCGTGGTGGCCAGAGAGAGCTGTCTTTCTGTTTTTCCCCCCACACCTGTTAGCTGTAGTTCAGGCTGCTTTTAAATATGGGTTTCATGTTCTTTGGAGCAGTTCTGAAACCATGTCTAGGAGTCTGGAGCCCATTATGGGTTTAGAAGTATTCTGGAATAGTACTATTCTGTAAGAATGCTAAACTACAGAAGGAGTCTAGCAGACAATTTCCAGGCTCATTTTGAATTCACTTGTAGAGCAGAAAGGCAAAAACAGAGTTGAGTTTTGATGGATTGCGAAAGGTATCTATCCAGCCATTGTCAAAACTTGCTGCCTCCCCAGGTTCTTTCCTATCCCAAAGTACAGTAAGGAGAATAACTGATGGCCACTTTCATGCCTATTGGTGACATGGTGGACTGTGTATTAGGAGGTGGGGGAAACAAAGCTGGAGGGACTTCCAACCCTTAACATAATTTCTGTACCATAAATATGGATAGAATCATTTTCCAGTTTTGTGTCTATGTCAGGACAAGCTCTGTCAGTGGGGACATCATATTTTATGCCAGTATTTTTTTTTCTGGCTCAAGGACTGGTAAGTAGTGCTTTTAAGTCAGCCATTTGAAAAAACCTAAATGGGTTTCACTTTTGAGAAAACATGCATATTACAATATATCACTGTAAAATCTGGATTGATTCCTTTCGAAAGAACTCACTTTTATGTGAGTGTTGAACTTGTTATATAACTATATCTTATGCATTTTTATTCAGAATTCAACCCCTACTGAATTCAATGATTAATAATATTGATCTAAATATTTGCGCGCATGTGAATACTATCACAAAGTTAATACTTTGGGCTAACTTACAACAGGCTAATACAAGTAATCTTCAACTTGCAACTGCTTGTTTAGTGATCATTCATAGTTACAATGGCACTGAAAAAAGTTACTTATGACAATTTTTCACACTTATGACTGTTCTAGCATCCTGCCTGTCACATGTTCAAAATCTGGATGTTTAGAAATTGGCTCATATTTATGACAGTTGTCATATCCTGGGATCATGTGATCACCTATTGTGACCTTCTGACAAGCAAAGTTAATAGGGATGCCAGATTCACTTTACAACAGTGTTACTAATATAACAACTGCAGTGATTCATTTAATAACTGGCAAGAAAAGTCATAACATGGGGCAAAACTCACTATTTCGCTTAGCAACAAAAGTTTCGAGGTTCAGTTGTGGTTGTAAATTGAGAACTTCCTTTAAAGCATTTAGTATTTCCACAGTAACTGCAGTGGAATCAGAATATTTAAGTGGTAACAGATTTCCGGTAGAGTATAGACAGTCATGTATAAAAGCACCAACATCACAGTAAAGCTAAGATTTATTATGATAAGAATGACCTAGCCTCTTTCCAGAATTTTGGATTTTGCCTTTTGAATTTAACAGGGCATAAGGAAAATTTTGGAAACATTTACTTCTATTATTCTTTTAATTAATTGCTACTCATTACACTGTATAAACCTAACTAAAAATAAGTTTGCGCTTTACTTTTACTTTTGAATGTATTATTTGCAGAAGAACTAGATGTAGGTTCCAACCTGTTTTCATATGAGTCAAATTTAATTAATCCAATTAAGCATCAAATCACTGAATTTCATCGGCTTGGAGCCTGCTTGAATGCCCAATTCTGTAAGTTGCACTGGGAGATTATGAAGTCCACAGCGTTTCAGAGTTAGAGATGATTACCTCTGATTTTATTATTTTATTTTGGGGACCATTAACATGATGTTTTTATTTGCTGTGTGCTACCGAGAATCTTTCAATGTGGGCTCAACATATAAATAATGTCAAATAAATAAAGTCTACACATAAACTGACTCATTCAGTGAATAAATCTGAGTCATTCTATCTCTGTGTCTTCTTCCAAATGAACCTATCTGGATTCTAGCAATGTGTGAGACACAAAAAACAGAGCAGGAATCTCCCTGGCACTCTTATAGACAACACTCATGATATGAGCCCATCGTACCAGTCAACACCCCTCCCCTGCTTTGTCCATATTTGAAAGGAAACCTGTGTCAATATTTGAAACTCAACAAAGCAGAAAGCCTTATCAAATCTGTTGAACTCAATCACCTATTCACAATCATGCCACTGTACTGCTTTAGATTTAACCACCACTGAAAAAGTAGCAAGGCTGCAGGAGTAGCCCCAAATTGTTGCTTCAGTTTTATCTCTGTTGCTCTGGTTTGTTTTCTATCCCTTCAGGGCTGGCAGGAAGTTATTTTGGGAAACAAAGAACACGGGGGAAGAATTACACTTCTCCCATCCTGCTTTCAGCACTTCTGATTCCATTCAGGGTACAGGATGTCTGCATTTGGGGTTTATGTTTTTACAAAAGTGTAAAAAAAAACATATCCAGAGCTGAGCAACCTCTGGAAAGGTAACTAGGAGAATTACTGGTGATGGAAGAAAAAAATGCAAACTGTTTATATCATCATTGGCTATATAATCTTAGGTGACCACAGTACATAATTTTCTTATTGCTTGTAAACATCGTTTAGTGGTTACTGAGTTAATGCAGCCAACTTTACTGGTATGAAGATATAGCCAAACCGTCATGTAGTTACGATTTGGGATGGGGAAAAGGTTGACCCAAGATATTGGCTTACTTCCATGAAGTTAATGTTAGCACAGATTCATATAGTTTAAAGTATTATTTTTGTCACAAGGTACCACATATTTCTGTAACATACAAATGTAGGCATTAAATGAAGAAATCAGAAAGAGAAAAAAAAATCACTGGATAAAAAAAAATCATTTTTAATTTTAAAAATATTTCACTGTTCCTAGTAAAGTTATTTTTAAAAAATCAGTTTAAGACCCAGGTAAAGGATATATTGTTTTCCAAAATAAAGTAACCCTAAATTATAGTAGCTAAACTTTATTATTGTTTTTTATTATTAACATTTCTGGGCACACCCAGAAGGGATGAGGGAAGCTGTTTGAACAGCTCGTACTATATTCAAGTAAATCTAACAGGCCATCACGTGGAGCAATTACAATTTTGCACATATATTCCAAGAAATATTAAAATTCTGAGCAAATAAAGTTTTATATATTTAAAAGTTCCTAGAATAAAATAGGATTATTTTATAGTGATGAAACAGCAAGATAAAACTGGATAAATAAAGATTTTATAAATATATAACTAGCACCAACCATTATGACAAGAACAATGGATTGGAGAACATGGGAGAAAATAGGGCTACGATATCCATCTGCAGTGATGTTGGTGACTGTTGGGTGACAACAAAGATTTTGGGTTTTTGATATTTCTTTCCTGTCATCTAATAGACATCTGTATATTTGCAACCCAGATCCTTCATCTTATAAGAAAAAGGTATTGTATCAAGATCCATCATTATCTCTGCATACTATAATATCACCTAGTCAGCAGATGTTTTGAAATTTATCTTAAAAACAGTCTCTGAACTACTCATTATATCAGAAAATCTTTATTGAGGTTAACCCCATCCTACAAATTTTTATAATTTTGTTTTTCTTTATTATTATACTGTAATGCTTCTGATCTGATTTTGGAGCATAGCAACATTAGTTGGTATGCAAAAAAATTCTGAGGCCAAATATTGCCATGTCATTCAGTTCAATGGAGAAATGGTTCTGGAAATATGAAATCATATACTCTATAGCTGGCACTTTTTTATTCTCTTTACTCGATGAACATACAATAGATATTCAAGAATGCTGACTATGACACCACTATTTATGCCACTAAATCAATGTAAGCATCTATAACATCTACATAATGTAGATGAACCGTAGAATAGTGTACAAATGGACAAAACAGAAGACCTTGCCTTATCGTACATAAGTTGATGGACTGCAACATAGCTAAAATATCAATTTGAGATATTTAAAGTATTTATTTACTTACTTATTTACTAAGGAGCAATTTCTATTAAATTTAGAGGACTTAACTTTTGATACAGAAGTATGCAACTGTGTTACTTAAAGTAGTTTCTTTAACTAAGTAGTTTTTGGCTTTTCATCTCCATGGCTGTATGCCAAACTATACTTGTTGAATTTCCCTCTTTTACAAAACACTGGCATTTTGCATACGGTTATCCTTCTCAATAGACTGGCTAAACGCCAAACCACATTGCAGGGAAGAGAAATTAATCTTTCCTCCCATACTATGATCCCAGCATGAATGGTCCTCCTGAAGCTGCAATTTCACAAAATAGCAAGTGTCAGGAGAACCAATGTGGGAGAAAAAAAATCCTCTTTTTTGCACACTTCACCCCTGGTTGGGGGGCAGGGAGGAGCTTCTCTAGTTGCAAAGAGAAAATAAAGAGTCTTGTGACCCTTGTCAGAATGATAGAAAATAATTTTCTTCTTTATTTAGATAAAATTAGTTGCTTTGGTGAATTATACTGTATAAATATTTGATTCAGAACAGTAACACCTCTTAAGGAAGTAGGTAGGTGTTTATTTTGATGAATAGCTAAAACATGTTAAAAATTTTGTATTTAAGAGAAATGAAAAAGCCAATTTAAGACATGGTGGTTACAGTATGAAGTTTTTAAAATATCACAATTTTGGAAGCAAAACCTTGTGTATTCTTAACAGATTTGTATGGTTGCTTATTGGTATTCAAGAAGAAAAATGGGCTGAAGATTTAGTATAAGAGTTTGTAGGGTTATAAGTCTATTTAACTTTGTATCTTGAAGCCTTTATCTTACTTGTCTACTCCCTTGTTTCTCCTATATATGCAATTAACTTTTCTGTTAATGGCAGACAGATTTAACATTTCTACATCTTTACTTCCCTTAAGTTGACAAATAGTTGGGGAAATTAAGGCATTTAAAAATTATCAAGAAAATTACATATAATCGCAGGCAATGAACTGGATCCAGTGTTGCATCAAGTGAAACTCCAGAAATTATGATCCTATGGATGAAAGGCTAGCAAATTTACCTTTCCCAACAGTCTCTGTTGTTCCAGCCCCCAAACCTGTAAATATGTCAATTTATCTGGGGACACCAAATTGGTGAAAATTGCTATCTGAAAAGGCACAACATTTTGCACTTCTCTAGTTCTCTCTCTCTCCTTTCTCCATTATAGTCCAGGCCCCTATCATCAGAGTTCCACTATAGGGCATCAACTCACAGGTTGGATTTACACATCACACCAAATCATAATGTCGTTCATTATAAATAAACTCAGTAATTATAGTTTGTAAACTACATTTTATGACTTTGACTAAAGAGTGGTTGGCTAGTTTATAGCTCAACGTGTTGTGCGAACACAGTAATATGTAAATCCGGGTATTGTCTTTTTCAGTCTTCAGCTGGCTAAATACAATTATTGCTGCTAATGTTTCATGGTAATAAGTTATAGTATTTCAAAACTATTCTCCAGTTTCACCATGAGTTTTACTTAGCAAGGATTAGCAAGGAGAAAAGAGCGCAAAGAGAGTTCAAGCAGATTCCTTTTCTAGTTTCATGTTGAATTAAAAAAACCCAAAGTTCTATTAAAAGTAGCACATATTTAAAGAATACTGTAAGTTAAAGCTGATGAAAACAAAATCATTAATGGGAAAGTGCAAGTGGACGCATATTGTTAATAACACAAAGCTCCACATCCTTCCCAAAGTACAAAACAAAAAAAATGTAACATGCAAGCAATGTTGAGCTTTCTTTTTTTTTAAAAAAAGAAAATAAAACGGTATCACACAAATTTAGCAATCACTACAAAATGTGGTTAAAAAGAAGATAAATAAGTCGCAGGCTACAGCTTGAAAGCAAGAGGGGAAAAAAAGAGAGGGTTTTTTGCTCCTTCGCAAAGTCAACACTCCTCAACAAAAACCAAAATGGAAAAGCCACCAAAAACTTTCACTACAGCTCTTTCAATTAAACAAAAGCACACAGTTTAGCTATCAACACCACTTCATTACTGTAATCAATAAATAAATAAATAAAAAAACCACACTGATATCTATGGACTATAGAAAGAAAACATACATGCATCGTTAATCACCATTTTAGCTTGTTTGTGTGTTTTGAGTCTACTGGTTACAGAGTTTAATTCCAAACAGAACTATTCCACCTCATATCCTTCTCATCAGTTATCTTAACTGTAAACGATCCCTGTCAGATTAGAAAGAGATAAATAACATTGAGTTTAGCTTAAGAAAGAAAAATATATTGTTGGGGGTACACTGGAGTGCTGATTACAGGCAGACCTGGTTTCCCCACATTATCTTATCAGCACAGGACTGCTTCAGTGAAGGATACTGGGCATCATCCCCCCAGCTTTAACTCTTATTGGAAAACCATTAAGGAAGCGAGGGCATTTTAAATCTGCATATTTGAAAAAAGAAAGTAATAATTTTATTGCCAGCAGTCACATTACAGGACATTAATATGTATACGCTATCTGTTTCCCACTGCAAAAAAAAAGCAGGTTTAGAGGAGACTTACCCAAAGGGTCTCTGGATTAAGGCTGGATGGAGCTGTTGAACCCCAAAGGCAAAACCTAACAACAAAACAAAGCACATTCTGTATACTGGTACTCCTTCTGTTGCATTGTTACTTTGTGTTGGCAATCTTTTACCTCTCTATGGAGTATTAAAGTCTATGAAATTAAATGGGACTTCCACATCAATAACCAAAGCGTTGCAGATTTATACTCTAATAAATGCTATCCTGGGATCATTTTTAACGAAAAGCAGGTAAAATGTCACTTACCTTTCATGAAAATGTTTGATACTTGAATGCATTTTGTTTCATTTAATTAATAAATAATCCTGGTTTTCAAGGCACGGAGGCCAGATAATAATTCTATGTTATTTAGCTGCTTCCAGTATTAAAAATACATGATTGAACATGGTCCAAAAATTATTAATATAGCTGGTATATACAACAGAGTGTAAAATAAGACTTTGCATAAAGGCTCCTTGGTGCTCTCTGAACTTGGTTGTTTTCTTGCAGAAGTTTCATTACCCAAAGTAGGCAACATTATCAGTGCTAATCAGGACATCATCATCAGAAAGCACCAAGGACCCCTCCTTTCAAACCTGAGTTACAAATATTCTCCTTTATTGAGCCTTTGCACAATTTGGAAGAACTACTTCTCAGCTTGTGTAAGTAGAGCCTCACTTTTATTTGCTGCTTAGAGTCGCCTCAAACCGCAAGATGGGCAGCAAATAAATTTAATAATAATTCACTGAAACACAAACCTTTTTTCATGTGTGAAATAAAGGCTGCAACTTTAACTAGTCAGCTCATTAAAGTTAATACACTCTTACAACAACCACCATTTTTTTGGAAGCCCACATATATAAAAAATAGGAGTCCCTGCAGATTTTACTCCGCTAGTTGTTGCCGACTATAGGGGGCAGTGCTCATTTCAAGGCCATTGAGCCAGTGCTGTCTGAAGACATTTCCATGGTCATGTGACCAGCATGACATCACAGAGTGCTGTTACCTTCCCACTGAAGGGGTACCTATTTATCTACTCACATTTGCATGTTTTCTAACTGCTAGGTTGGCAGAAGCTGGGGCAAGGATGGGAGCTCACCCTATCATGTAGTGCTCAGGTCTCAAACCTGGGCTGCCAGTGTTCTAGCTGACACGCTCAGCATGTTAACCACGGAGGCAACCACACCGACTTCCCCCACACACACATATAAAAAACCTGTGAAAAAATCAGGCTGCTTTACCAAATATCAGAAGTGTACTGCAATTCCTCTGAATCATTTTTGAAGCGTTCACAGCCTTAATAGTAATCTTTCCTTTCAGCAATATTAATAATATTATACCTCAAGATAAAGAGTTGTTATTTCTCATAGATCATTACAATTTGGGGCAGACGTAATGTTCAGTCTCCTAAACCTGGTCGCTGTATTTGATATTTTTTTTGTTTTTGTACAATTTTTTTTGTACAGATGTTTTTGTATAAGTTTCTGTTGCCCTTTTAGGGATTGCTTTAAATATGGTAAAGGGAATAAGTTGACAATTTTGTCAGGTGTCTGGCAGCCCTGGGAACTCTTGTACATTGGCCTACCTTCCCCAAAACTTTTCTTTCAAGCCATTTCTACTGAAATTTCATTAGCTTGCAGCAGCCATGTGTGAAATCTCACAATCTTCTGCCGGAATGCAGAATTTTTTGATATGGGTGCATCGATGCTGTTTTGGGCTGTTGTGCATGACTTCTGCGTAATTGGGAGTTGCACTGGTGAGATCTATGTCATCTTTTTATAACTAGAGGAAGTTTTGCAAAATAACTGATTGAACCTGAATTATATTATTATGTGTTAATCTGGTTAGTTCTTGACTGTGAAGAGGCAATGCCACATCATAGTTAAAACCAATGACAGAAGGACAAAAAAAAAAAAGGGATGTTCATGTTCCCAATCTCTTAGCTGAGGCTGGAAGATTGGGAACTTTTACCAGTACCAAACTGGTTTGATCCTAGTTTGTTTCAATAAACTATTAACTAAACCAGAAGTAAACAACTTTTTTTCAAGCTAATGCTGTTTTTGAATGCTCCAGACTTGTGTGTTGTCAGGATAAAAAGCAAATTTAAATTAATGTCATTTGCATTTATTTAAATATAATACACTACAGTTTAGTATTCCCTCAATTTAGGTAATTTTGTTCCATAAAAATTACTTGGTAATTCACCATGCCAAATCATAGTTTGCACAAACTATGGCTTGCAAATGTGTATCAAACGAATGGGTTCTAATTCTGATTTAGCAATTCATGGAATCAATTACTCCAAATTGATAACTGTTGTATAGAATGAACAACATACCAGTACAGCAAAAAAATGAACAGAGGGTTGGTATGAGTCTGAATTGAATCAATGCTAAAAGCTGATACACATACAATATTATATATTCTCATACTAGTTGAAGGCACTTCCTAATTTAGAACTTAAATATAAAGACAACTTAAATATAAAGACAAATAACTGACTATTTATTTTTAGCTTTCATTTAGTTTTAGTGTTCATAATAAAAATCTTTAATTTTGCATTCTTGTTTTATTTATTTATTAAATTTATATGAAGCCCATTTCACTGTCAAGCAACTCTGAATTACTTACAGCACAAAAAAAGCAAAAATAGAAAGTATTAAAACATTATATATATTAAAATTAGCAGAAATAAGGTAAGTTAGAAAGCAGAATGCAACTGGGTGTCCATCTTGTGAATGCATTCATCCAAAGTGATTTCTAAACAATTCCGTAATATATTTATAGTGAATGACCGAAAGGATTAATTGATGCAAAAGAATTAAGGTTAAACATGTAATTTTCTAAGTAAGTGGGGATGACTTCGTGCTTTCAGTAGGAGAAGTCCTCAGTAACAGGTTTGATGAGTTAAAGAGAAAATACATGTGACTTTTTATTTAAAAGTCTATACCCACTAAATTTTAGTGATAATTTATTCATTTTCCTGAAAAATCCCTAAACTCCACTATTTAATTTCAAATTGTTTATCTTGAGTTTAAATGTATGCATATGGGGTAGAGGTTGACCATGGTTATTCCTAGTTACCTCAGTGATGAACAGAAAACATGTTGATCTTGTTTGGAGGCTGATTTTAGTAATGAAAAAAAAACTTCCATAAATAAGTTGAAGCTAGCCTGGCTGAAAAAAAAAGAGCATAGTACTTCAGGAATACAAGGTTGATAAAAAAAGAAATATCAAATAAATAAACAACTGAAATAACTCAGGAAGTTAGCGTTTGGCAAGACAGAAAAGACACACACCAATGATGCCTGTTGCTCTGCAAATTAATGTAAACTTATTAATCAAAAGTTATTTCAATTATGCAAATTATTGATTTTGCAAAATTTGGTTTGTTTTTGAGATGCCTAGGTGCCAGAACAGGTTCCTGACTATTATTGTAAATGCAAAATAAGATAGGTTTCACAAAGAAACTGGAAGCTATTTCAGGTTTCATTTTGAAGCACTTTGTTTTGATGATTCTTAGAAATCAAAAGTTGACTGCCGATGCTACCAAATATTGTACTAAAAATATTAACTCTGATATTAAAAGAAAATTTATATTCTGAGTCACATACAACAGAATGATTCTCCATTTAATTAGACTCTCTGATCAATTAAATAATTAGTCCAATTAATTAATTAGACTCTTCAATTAAAGGGGGACATCACATGTAACTGACTCATCAAAAAGAAGAAAGTTGAATATTTGAAAGAACTCCTATATACATCAATCTCTCCCTATATATACACACAAAATATAGAGAGAGACCATAATCCTATGTGCATTATTTAAGGGCATAATCTACAGAAATCACTAGGTTTTGCACAAGGCGGTGATGTTATTTTCTACATTCTCAAGTTAGCGCTTTCTAAATTTCCACCTTCTGTTTCCTGGACTTCTATCAATCAAGTATTTAGAAAAGGACTGTGCAAGAACTTCTTTAAACAACTAGAACTACACTTTTAGTGCACACAGAGAGGGTTTCCATAGCAAGGCAAAGGGACAGTCATTTTTTTAAAAAGAAGGGCTGTTTTGTTGTCCATATTTTCTACATAGAGCAGGTACATATACCTGGGAAGAAGTAACTTATTCCCCTTTCATCTTCTGCTCCAAATGTCTTATGTCAGCTCTAGGAAGCTCTGCCCCACATGCCGCAAATCACATGACATTATGGCTCTTAGACATAATTCTTACATTTGAACCAGTAATACCTAAGTTTTGTATTGCGTTGACACAAAGTATCCTCAACATGAATTGGCCATTATTAAAATCACAGAATTGAGTGATGATAAAATGCTTCAGAACTATGTTCTTTGGGAACTTTTGGCTGTTCATTTGCAAACCACTCATTCTAAAATTAGAAGATAATAATCACAGTTATTACCTGGCTGCATAATTCTTGGTTTTGCTCCCAGATATGCAAGATTCACATTAGCTTTTCTGCCATCAATGATTGGATTAGGATCTTTGCAGGCCCTTTCAGCAGCAGCTCGATCAGCCATTGTCACCTTGATAATAAACAGCAAAGGTATCAAAACTGTGACCCTCAAAACAACCTTCCAGATATCGTAAAACAATACTCTTTCTGATGGACTCTTTCAAATTAGAATGATCAGGGAATTCCCTTTTTGTTTTCTTGTTTTGTTTCGGTATTTTGCTTTACAGTTGGTTGCACTCTTTTATATATTGTTTAGTTGTAAGCTGCCCACAGGTGTTTGGGTGGCCTGTTAAATAAACAAATAAACAAACTCCTCTCATCCAAATGAAAATACAACTAGGCAGTATCTTTCAGTGTCGGAATTTTGGAGACTGTGTGTGTGTTTGTGTGTGTATGTGTGAAATTAATACAATAAACACTTTAAAAAATCCAGCTCTATTCGAAGCATTCTCTGTTTCCCTAAACAGAGGCACAGAAAGTTTGCAGGATTCCAAGCCAGTGACACAGTAGCATGTGCCAGTGTAGATAAAAATATGAACATGTCCTATCAGTCTGCAGCCAGCTGGCTTTATCCAATGCCAAAACTTTATTAGCAAGTTTTCCTATACAGGCATGAAGCAAACATCCATAGCAGGGAGCACCCACAACATAGTCTTCAAAGAAGAAAGTATTGCCACCCCCCACAAATATCCCCACAACACTATAGTCGGTCGTATACTAATTGTGGGACCCCCTCAGTTGATAGGCTGCTTTTCCAGTGCCTTGTTTTACACGTTGCTTAAGTTTGGGGGAAATTTACCCTTTTTGTCTGCCTTCTATACCTTTCAACCAAATGATCGCAATCTTTTCAAGCCCCCTTTTTTTGGAGTGGGGGGGGGAAGAGACCGAGGTGGCGGGATTACTGTCCCCCCTTCCCGGCTCTGCCTTCCCTCCCGCCCTTGTTTCAGCGACCACCACCACCCCATGCCCCCACCCCCACCCCCGGCGGTCCCTTTTGACTTACAAATCCGTATCCCCGGGATTTGCCCGTCTGCCGGTCGGTGATGACCACGGCTTCTTCGATCTCGCCGAAGACCTCGAAATACTTCCGGAGGCTGGAGTCGGTGGTGTGGTAGGGCAGACCCCCGACGAAGATCTTGGTGTACGTGGTGTCCTTCTGGGTCGTGTGCATCTTTCCCCCCCACGAGCGAGCGAGAGAGAATCTCTCCCCTGCTACAAGACCAACAACAAAAGGAAGGAAAAGAAAGTCAGGGGAGGGAGGGACGGAGGGAGGGAGGGGGAAGCCTCTTCTCTCCGGCTGCTAAAGGCGCCAACTGCCCGCTTCCAAGCAACTTCTCTCTCACCGTCCAGAGTCCGCTTTCCCCAGCCACGCAACAGCAGCAGCAACTCTCTTCGCCGAACAGGAAACCTTCCTTCTCCCGCGCCGAGCGGTTCTGAGCTGGGCTCCGAGGGCAAACAGGAAGCCTCGTCGGATGATGCTCTTGAGGTAGACGGTGCGGGGGGCGAGGAAAGTGCAGGGAAGTCTCCCGCCGGCGAAGGTTTGTCCCCAAATGTCACACGCGCGCGAGCTCCCCGTTCCGCTGCCGCCCCTCTCCACACGCACACTCCCCCCCTCCCGCTTCCCCGCCCCGCTTGGAGGGGCGGGTAGCCAAGGCGGAGTCCCCTCCGGTTATTGGTCTCTTCCTGGGAGAGAAGCCGGCAGGGTTATAAAACCCCGGTTGCGTGGATTTAGCGCGTGGCGTCGGGGAAAAAGAGAGAGAGAGAGGCGAGGAAGCGGCCGGCCTGCCTCGCCACCTGCGCGCTGAGCGGCGCCCTGTGGGAAAAGCGGTCGTTCCCGTTTCTTGGCTGACGGCGCTGACAAACGGGAGCTCTGCCTCGCCTTCTCTCCGCCTTCCCTGTAAAGCTCACACGACGTAGCCTTCTTTGGGCGTCCGTTGCGGAGCCCTCAGGCCTCCCCCCCCCTCCCCGGTTCCCTTAAGAGCGAGCGCGAAGAGGCGCACGGCGGGGCGCAGAAGTTCGACCTCGGGCAGCCCTGAGGGAGGAGGCGGGGATTGCGCCGTCTGCTGCCGTGCCTAGGGCCACCCTTCCCCTATCTGGTGCCCACCAGGCGCGTTGGGCTCCCAATTTTCCCATTGGACGGTTGCCTGGGGCGGCCTTGGCCTGGAAGTCTCTTCCAACGGGGCTCCTCCGAAGGCCTGCGAATTCCTCAGCCTTGACCGACAGAGAGAGCTGCCGTCCCCGGGGCGCTCCTTGGAGTGTTGAGTGGGCAAGAGGTGGCTGTTTGGGTTAAAGAGTCTTGTTTTCCTGCTATGTTGCCCTCTCTCTCACAGGGAAGGAGAGCGGGGAAGGCTGTGCAGTCAACGCAACGACAATGACGCAAGAAGCAAGCAGAATCCGTAGCTGTTTCCCCCCTTGCACGTCCTAATCTAAGGAGACGCTTCTTGCTCTGTCCTGTCCTGTCACGCCTGTCAAAGAGGAAAGGGAAATGGACACAGCCACCAAGTGAAAAAGTGAGGCAACCTGCAATAGCATTTCCCAATGGGAAACATCAGTTTCAGCCCTTGTCCAGCCCTTGTCCCAGCCCATTAGATGAGCTAAAGACAGAGAGGGAAGAGGGAAGCTAGTTTCTCTTAATGTCTATAGAGATTCTCAGTCATCCAGGTCATGCTTGTCCCAAAGGTGCTTCTTCAAGAGGCAATTGGACTTTCTGGCTTTTCTTCGAAGACATCTCGCTTTTCCTCCATATAAGCTGAAGAGGCTTCTTTGGATGAGAAGCAAGATGCTTTGCCTCTTGAAGAAGCACCTTTGGGACTTGTTCCTCTTACGTGCCCAAACTCATCCTGTGGTCTGGGCAGTTCAGAGAACTCAGCATAGATCCCAAACTATAGATCAGCTTTCTGGAAAACTGCAGGTCAGAGTGTGCTCCAGGCATGATATGATCCTGACCAGTGGTGGGATTCGCACCACTTCGGGAGAACCGGTTGTTAACTTTCTGAACAGTTTGGTGAACAGGTTGTTGGAAGAAATCATTAGGGCAGAGAACTGGTTGTTAAATTATTTGAATCCCACCAATGATCCTGACCCAACCAGCCCTTTGAAGTTGCTTGCTTTCCAAGTGCAACCCATGTAAAATACATTTCAGTAGGGAAGCACAATGTGTAAAGTAAGCAAGAGTTTTCCAAAAAGAGATAGAAGAGGGCAAGAAAGGCAAACAACCAGTGGAACCTCTTAACTAGATGGGTGCACTTTTTTCAGAACAAGCTCTTGATATAAGTGGCCAGTGGCCAGGGGGGCTTTCTATCAGGTTTGCCTGATACGCCAGTTGCGCCCCTTTCTGGATCGGGACTCCCTACGCACGGTCACTCAAGCACTCGTCACTTCTCGTCTGGACTATTGTAACGCTCTCTACATGGGGCTCCCCTTGGGGTGCACCCGGAGGCTCCAACTGGTGCAGAATGCGGCCGCACGGGGGATTATGGGAGCGACGGGGCTGCATTGGCTTCTGGTGGACTTCCGGGTGCGCTTCAAGGTGTTGGTGATCACCTTTAAAGTGCTCCATGGCTTAGGGCCGGGGTACTTACGGGACCGTCTTCTGCCACCAATTGCCTCCCACCGGCCAGTTTGCTCCCACAGAGAGGGCCTCCTCAGGGTGCCATCGGCCAGACAATGTCGGCTGGCGACCCCCAGGGGGAGAGCCGTCTCTGTGGTGGCACCTACCCTCTGGAACAATCTACCCCCAGAGATACGAGTGATCCCAGACCTCCGGACTTTTCGTCGGGCCCTTAAAACCTACTTCTTTCAGTTAGCCGGGCTGTCCTGATTTTATGATGGGTTTTTAAAATTTGAAATTGGTTTTAAATTGAAATGTTTTAAATTATGGGCCAAATTTATATAATTATTTTAAATCTATTTTAACTTTTGTGTATAAAGTGTTTTACTTTGGCTGTTCACCGCCCTGAGTCCGAAAGGAGAAGGGCGGTATAGAAATCTGAAAAACAAACAAACAAACAAACAAACAAACAAACAAATAAATAAATGAGTGAGTGAGTGAGTGAGTGAGAGAGAGAGTGAAATGTCAGGGACCTAAATCAAAAAGTGGACAAGGACAAAATATTAAAGTTTAATTAAAAAATATGTAAACACAATATCAGTTATTCCCATATCTTTTTCTTTGTCACAAAGAAAAATCACAGTCCACAGCAATTTTATAACATTATGTAGGCCCCACCCAAAGTTTTGGGATTTGCATGCAAGCTTCAACCAATAGGTTGTCTAAAAGCATCTCTATCAAGGAATTGCCTGCCTCTCATGCTGAACCTGATGCTTGAGGGGAAGTGCTGCTCTATTCAGTGTAAGCAGAATTACATCCCAGGTCAGGTATTTATTTATCCACAGTGCCCACATTTCACTCAGTGTTTCATGCATCACCATTTTCACTTCTTACCTAGCCAGTGTTTAAAATGAGAGCTAGTTGCAAAATAATTGTTTCTCTGGGAATATCTTCCAGGAAGGAGAAGACACACAAATGTGCAATTCGGTCTCCAGCCTGACACCACTCATGGTTGAGTTAGTAATAAATGGTTGGAAATGTATTGACTTCTGTAGATGGTTTTAATATCAAACTTAGTAGCTCCTATTAGCTTGGACAAAAGTGGGAGTTGCTGCTGGGAATTCTTGATCCAGCAGTTATTGAGGCTGATAAATTCCCCAAGCCTAAAAATCCATAGGAACCCACTCACTTTAATAAGAAAGCTCAAAATGTCCAGTGTAGCTTTTGTTCCAAAATAGATCCTGAACTGCCAGCTGAAAAGAGTTCTACGGACGCAAAACTCCAAACAATATCAACCAAACATAAAACTTGAAAATTATTGACAATTCTCTTCTCAGTTATGTTTAGAACATTCAATAAAGCAAGTGTCTTGTTTTATTTTTCTTGCCTACATTGTTTTTTTTTTAATTGTGATATTATTTCTATTTTACAATACAGTAAATGAAGTATAAAATGATCCTTCGGGATTCATCAGTCTGCCAGATCTTGCAGATTCATGTTCAACTGTAATCTAGTTTCTGTTGGAATATACAGGCAGTCCTTGACTTATAACCATTTGTTTAGTGACTGTTCAAATTTACAGTGGCACTGAAAAAAGTGACACAGCTGCTTTTCACAGTGATGATCTTTGCAGCATCCCCAGAGTCAGGTGATCAAAATTTGAATGCCTGGCAACTGGTTCGTGTTTGTGATGGTTGCAGTGTGATCACCTTTGGTGACCTGACATGCAAAGTCAATCGGAAAGCCAAATTCACTTAACATCCATGTTACTAATTTAGCAATTGCAGTGATTCATTTAACAGCTGTGGCAAGAAAGGTTGTATAAAGAGCTGAGGTGGCGCAGTGGTTAGAGTGCTGTACTGCAGCTACTTCAGCTGACTGCTAGTTCAGCAGATCAGCAGATCAAATCTCACTGGTTCAAGGTTGACTCAGCCTTCCTTCCGAGATGGGTAAAATGAGGACCCAGATTGTTGGGGGCAATATGCTATTTAGTATATTGTTGATTGTTGTAAGCCGCCCAGAGTCCTCGGAGAGTGGGCAGCATAGAAATATGAATAATAAATAAATAAATAAATATTTTTTTAAAAAAGGAGCAAAATTCACTTAACAATTGTCTTGCTTAGCAACATAAATTTGGGGCTCAATTTTGGTTGTAAGTCGTGAAATACCTGTATTTAATTGTGTTCCATCCCGGTGCTCAGAACAGGGACATTTCTTCCACCCTACTTGCAACATCTTATTTCTAAACTTGGAGATATATCTTGCAAATATGTTGCAAGATTTTTCTTTTTTCTTAGATCTTCTGTGTTTCTAGGAATGAGAAACCAAATACCACCTAAAGCCTTTCTTCTATGCTGCATCTGTTTATGTTAGGGATAGTAGACATACTAAAGTATTTCTTATGGGTCCAAAATAAGGATACTATTATTATGATTGTGAAAAGAGAATCATAGGAATCATTGTCTTTTATGTTGAGTGGAGATGATGGCCAGGAGTAAAAAGAGAGTTACAGAAGTGAATCAAGTGAGCTGAACTGGAAAACTTACAGAACTGGCAAGTATTATCTTTACTTGAATGTTTAACTCAGGGATTCTCTGGAAGTGTTCAGACCAGGGGTGAAATTCAGCAGGTTCTGTCAGGTTCTGGAGAACCGGTAGCGGAAATTTTGAGTAGTTCAGAGAACTGGCAAATACCATCTCTGGCTGGCCTCAGAGTAGGGTGGGAATGGAGATTTTGCAATATCCTTCCCCCAGGAGTGGGGAGGGAATGGGGATTTTGCAGTATCCTTCCCCTGGAGTGGGGTGGAAATGGAGATTTTGGAGCATCCTTCCCCTGCCATGCCCACCAAGCCACACCACGCCCACCAAGCTACGCCCACAGAACCGGTAGTAAAAAAAATTGAATTCCACCACTGGTTCAGACTATAAAAAGTAGCTTTGTTTACTTGTAGGGGAAAATGAAATGACGGAATAGGGT